GTGTCCAAGTCATTTTCCTTGTGGATCAATAAAGTTTGTCTAAGTCTAAGTCTGACCTCCTTTCCATTATGTGAATGTGATGAGTCAGGGATACATAGGGAAGTATATTACCACCAAGTATGTAAATTGGATCCAAAAAAAAGAAAAGAAAAAGACGGCTTGACAAGATTGCGAAATACATTACACTATAAGGCATACGGCAAGTATAGTAAAATATTACCCAGGTTTATGTGTATCAAGTATCAAGTGTGTTTTCAGTGGGGAGGTCTGAAGATGGCACCAGAGAACTTAACACTTACATATTACATTATTTTCTCATTTATGTTATAATGACTTGTAATACAGCTAGTCCATTATGGGCCTAGTGCCTAGCCAGGTGATATAAGGACAAAATGCAAAGTTTTAAAAATGTTTATTGAGTAATTGATTCAAAATGTTTGAGTGAAGTGGCCTGTAAAAGAAAATTTAACAAGCAAATAGAAGTACATTTATTTAAGTAACTGTGAGTAAAATAAGTTGTACCTCTTGTTGTCTGCTCAGGTGTTCCAGTTAAAAGAGTCCTCAGGCAGCAAGAGAACCTTAAGAAGGTTCCGGGGCAGGCAACCATTTTGTTAGGAGGACGGGTGTACAGATATTTAAACTCTTTTCTATGTAGTATTTTTATATAATTAATAAAACACTGTTAGATTAATAAAGATATATATATTTTTGTATTTAGATATAATTGAAGATGTAATTGAAGATTTGAGCACTTTAGCTGTGCATACGACTGAAAGGTTTTCATTCCGCACTCTTCTCTTTAATTTATGTAATTAATGTCTCTCTCTTTTTAAATTTTTTTATTTTAATCTTTAATTTTATGATGGTTATTTATGTTTTGATTTGTTTTTATTGTGGTAAAAATGTATGTAATATATTTCTTATTCTATAAAGCACTTTGAATTACTTTGTGTACAAATTGTGCTATACAAATAAACTTGCCTTGTCTTGTCTTGCCACTGTTTTTGATACTGCTAACTTTTAAACACTGAATTGAAATGACCTGTACTTACCTTTAGTTTAAGATGAGCTCACCCAATAAAGAGAGGTTCTACATAAGGTTCCCTATAAAAGGAGCCAACCTCACCTGTGTCGAGAGGAGGTGCTATGTGTGGGTGCAGGTTATGGGTATTCTTGTTTTTAACTTTTCTACTTTTTGTAAATATTTTTCTTTTTTTTTTTTTTTTGTGGTTGTGGAATAAATGCACTTTGGGTCTGCACAAAAAATCGGCTCAACTCAACTCTGTCCCTCTTACACTGCTTAAGTTGCTGTCAGGGCTATTACATGGCTCCTCATCAAAAACATACTCAGGGTTGTGTTTTGTTTTAATCACGCATGTTTAACTCACAAACCCTGCATATTTAGGCTGAGCGCTCCACTGTGTTTTTAAACTCCATAAACCGTCACTAGACTCATTTGGATAATTTCAGCCCTGGAATTGCCTATTTATGTAGCTGTTAACTTGAAAACTACTGCTTCACAAGGTGGAGCATTTTGATCTTTGGAGATGCAGACAGACTAATAATAAAGGATTACTGAAACATGCGTGAATGAAATAAAACACAACTCTGGGTATGTTTTTGATGAGGTAGCAGCATTATAACATGGCTTAAAGTTCGTAAGAGTCAAATTTTCATAACAGGATAGGATCTTTAACATTTAAATTCCATAATTTTGTGTATTGAATCATAAAAAATAGCAATTATATATGTCTATTTCTTGTTTTTTGTTGTAATTTGTTGCGATATAAGTACATTTAGCCTCTCTCCTCGCCACATCCAAAAAGCTCTCTCTTGTGTAAATATTAGCAGATTATCACTACTACACATCACAGCTGTCTAATAACTACACATTAGTGGATATGTTGTTCACACCTCTACAGTTAACAGCGCACTGACCACCCACCTCCTCCTCTATCTCTCCTTCTCTCTCCCTCCCTCTCTCTGGCTGGATGGATTGCCTCTTAGCTCCCATTTGACTGGAAACAGGTGTATGCCGTCCGGGGATGAAGGCTTGGGCCGTAAACATTATTGGAAAACATCTGCCGCTTGTCACAACAACGGGGCGAGCTGCTGTGGCCCCCCCATCCATCAGATCTACCAGAGAAGAGAGCGGGAGGGAGAGAAAGAGGAAAAAAAGAGAGAGAGAAAGAAGGGTCCAAGCACCTGTCTGCAGATGCCAGACCAGAGCAGGCTGCCTTTGACCGATGGAGGATGGGGGGAATGGTCCAGTGGTTTTGAGAAATGGGAGCAGGACAGCGGGCTAGTTTAATGCCATAGTTTAAAGGGCCCATATTGTGCCATTTTCTGATCTGTTATAATGTTGTTTCCTCATAAAAAACATACCTGGAGTTGTGTGTTGTTACATTCACACATCTTTAACAATCCTGCTAATCCACCCTGGGTTCTTCTCTCAAACTGAAAACACTCTCTTCCACCTTGTGCTCCACTGTGTTTTGAAAGTCCACACACCTTCACTAGAATCATTTGGATATTTTCAGCTCTGCAATTGCCAATCTCTAATGAACTAATTGTAAAAGGTTATCCTGAAAAACTGCCGTTTCATGACATCACAAAGTGGAACAGAGCATTTTGAGCTTTGGAGATATAGAAAGACTAATAACGTTTACTCAGACATGTGTGAATGAAACAAAACACAACTCCGGGTATGTTTTTGATGTGATAACAGCAGTCTTACATGGCTTAAAGCTCAAAAGAGTCAATTTTGCATAATATAGAACACATTTTTTCATGTATTTGAGCAGAATTGTCCCCAGTAGAAATAAAGTCAGAGGTGGTGCTATCATTAGGCAGAAGTAGGCGGCTGCCTAGGGCCCCCAAACCTGGAGGGCCCCCAACCAATTAGAAAAAATTTGATTTTCTCAATATAACATTAAATGAGAGTAGTTTACTTTTAAACAATAAACATAAGAAAAATAATATAAATCATATGTAATGGATGTAATCAAAAATGCAACTGGACTAGCAAAAAAAAAAAAAAACTACTTTCAATTCTGGTTATGTAGTAGATGACCTAACTAATAAGACACATTTCCAATCCACAATAATTCAAATAAATAGAGAGGTGCATGTTTCAAGAACAATAAAAAACATGACAAAACAGAAAAACGGTGGATTATAGTGAGGGCTTAAGTTCGCCTAGGGCCCCCAAAATTGCTAACGCCACCACTGGATAAAGTATATCGTATAAACAGTTTTTGAGGTCAAAATAAGTCAGCTGTGCACTGTCTGCATCTCATTAAGCATTTTAATGTCCGATAATCTGGAAGTGCATGGTTGGCGTACTAGTTGGACCAAAACTCCAATTTAGTCTCACATACCTTATGCTTGAAATGCATAAGGTAAGTGAGAAATAACTTCGGACCACTGCAAACCATTTTGTTCTACTTTTTTCACATTAAGACAGTAAAAATCTGTACAGCGTCTTTAATGCTATACAGTGGAACATTCCAAACAAAGCAATACGTTTATGTAGATCATCTTCAACCCATGGTACATTCATGGTATTTGATGTTTCTTACACATATATAAATAACTACATAACTATAGATACTATCCAAAACCACTTTACATTTTTAGACATGCCTTTGACCGATGGATGATGGAGGGAATGGTCCAGTGGTCTTGAGAAATGGGTGCAGGACAGCGGGCGTCACACACCTCACGTGGCCCTGGCTCTTGACCCGGGGCGGCCAACAAAAGGCGACACAGACATATATGCGCACACACACACGCGCGCACACGCTCCAATACGTCTTCATGACAGGCCCCTCACTCCTGTCCTGCTCCTGTCTGTCAACCATCAGAGCAAAAACAAGTCCCATTTAAGCTCTTTTCAAGGTCAGTGTGTGATTAAATGGTTGTATTCTTTTGATTTCTAGTTTTTCCCATTTTATTTAGTATATTTTGAAAATGAAGTGAAAATAGGTAACAGTGGTTCAATAGGAAGATTTTTCCAACTGGCAAGACAATGGATATGTTTTGACAATGGAAGATATGCAAAAAAGTGCAAACCAATGTGGAAAAGGCAAGAAAGAAAATGAAAATGTTAAAGGTCCTATAGAACACAAAACTGATTCTTGTGAGCTTTGTCATGTTAGAACATTGTCCTCCTCAAAAACATTCATGGAGTTGTGTTTGTTTCATTCACATATGTTTAAAGTAACTATTTATTTTTAGTCTGTCTGCATCTTTAGAGCTTAAAATGCTCTGTTTCACCTTGTGATGTCAATAAAGGGCAATTCTGTGTAAGTGTACAGTTTAAAAACCGCTGTGGAGCACTTCCTGTATTACCAATAAAAACCAACACCTAAAATCAAATCTAATTATTGGTTTATCTGATTATTCTCAGTTACTGTATGGCTGGGTTGCTGTGGTAAACATGTTTAAATAGAGAAAACATGTCTACATGAAAGTAAGCAATCTGAAAGGTAAAGATTATAAAAGACAATTAATTCTAAGCTAAATATCCTTGATAATTTCACAAATGCAAAATGTACTTCTCAATACATTGTTAATAGTTTTATTTGCAGCCTCCTGGTAAGCACAAACATTTATCAAACAAATAAGGAACGGCAAATATTCTATACAAACAAAAATAGCACCACTGAATTATTGTAATGATATGCAACCTGAGATAAAATATAGTTATAAATACAATTCATTTCTACTAATATCAAACATCTGTCTGTATTTTGGTTAATTTAAGTGGTATTATGTAAACTAGTAAAATTGCTTCATAGTACTGTAAAGTAAAGCAGCAAAAACATAAGCAAACCATTTCAATATTTCATAAGTCAGATATTTCCGAATTATTTACATTATTAACAAACAAGTGCAACACATGCAAGTTTGAAGGAGTTTGCGACCAGCCTAGTGGACGGTAGCATAAGACCAAGTAACTCATAGATGTTGTTACATTCACAAAGGTGTCAATATAATACAAGACCTTGGATGTACAGTACTCCAAAAAGTTTCTACTTCAAGACCCCTATAATGCAAAAAAGAAAAGACTGATATTCTTATTATAATTATTATTATTATGATGATGATGATTAGCTGCATTGTGCTATCAAAAATGCCACTTAATCCTGTAAAATGTATATATACAGTAGTTAAATCAAAACAAGGATATTTATGGAGCTGCTCTAAATGTACACGAACTCGTACACTGATTTAGTTTTGTTTTTTGACAATGGCTTAAATATTGCCCATTTACTGTAGGGTTGATGTATCTATTTGCTTCCAGTATACATTTAAAGTCATTTAAATAATGGCGGATAAATAGCTAATAATGATTTTTAAGTGTACTATGTAACTTTTCAGATAGGTGGTCCACCATCTGCTTGTTTCCATAGAGATATTATGGCCTTGTCTGGAATATGTTACAGTATGTATTTAACTTATTTATCATACATTTATTCAATCACGGATGTTTTTATTGCTAAAGAAATCCTTAACAGCATGCATTCTTACTGGAAGCATGATTTTTCAGCAATTCTTATACTTTTACCTGTTTCTATTGTACACATTTTATTATATTTATTTATTTTAGGCATATTTTTTTAGGATTTCCAGTGTTTCCTCTGTAGGAGCCCTCTGCATCAGGAGCGGAGGTCGGCTGTGGCTGCCGGGTTCTGTCCCGTGGGCTCCTGGTGGAGGGTTGGTGCTTGGGCCTCATCTTTCCCCTGGGCCCTGTGGCGGTTCCTGGTGGTGGTGGACGTCTCTCTGCTCCTGATGTAGACGGCTCCTCTGATGGTGCCTCCTCAACTGGTTCGCCTGTATTCAGCCTCACATTTTACTATAGGTGATTTTATGTGTGTGTGCGCGTGTGTGTGCGTGTCTAGGTTGTTTGGTTGTGTGGAGTCGGGCAGGTGTGGGGGTTGGGTAAGTGGGTGGGTGGATGGAAATGTAGGATTGTTTTTAATCACTGTAAAGCACTTTGTGTTACATTTTTGTATGAAAAGCGCTTCATAAATAAAGTTTGATTGATTGGTTTGATTGATGATCTGACCTGACCGACTCTATTGAGACTGATAAGTTCAATGCCATACCATGGAACATTCTAGGCAAAAAAATACTATCTCCATGGAAAGAGGTAGTAGACCCACCACCAGAAAAGTTACATAGAGCACTTTTAAGTAAGTAATTGCATTCTATGTGCACAGTTTTCGTAGTATGTGCTCTCTATTTGCATTACTATGCTTTGATCTCTTACACTACAATAAATAACACAACTTTACAACTACATACAAGAAGATACTACTCAAATTCAGTTTACATCTTTACACATCTCAGTTTTTAAGTTGATTTGTCTTCGTCTGTCCTTCTGGTGCCAGTCCCATGTGCAGTAAACGCTACTGTCCAGTCCCTGTGGAGGCTCCCTCTTAGACATGTGAGAAGTCTGCCATTTATGACATCCTTTTTTTACCCGGAGGATGTGAATGCTTCGTGTCAGAGTTCTGCTGTCTAACCTTCCATTCTGACTTGTATTTTATGTGCTTTTGCTGCCTGTCCTCCTCCTCTTCCTCCTTTGAGACACAGAGAGGCTCTGCTGCTCTGGGAGTTGGTGAGGCAGCGCTGAAAAGAGGGGAAAAAAAGACAAGAAGACATCAGCACTATTTGGAAATGAAAAGCAAATGTTCCTGGGTAAGTTAAGAGCATGTAGTCCCCCGCGGGCTGTGCTTTGAGGGGGTAAAGTAGAGACAGCCCCGTGCCTGGCTCCATGCTGTGTTCACATTAAAATAAGTGTCAGGAGGCAGGAGCGGCGATTGGGGCGGACAGTGATGGGCCTCTGCCTCTCACACTTCATGACAGGGTTTCACTAAAGCTGCCTCAGGTTTGACGCCCCGGGTCTTGTCTGACAGGATCTGTGACTGTACTTAAAGTATGAAGGGAAAAAAGATATCCATGTTGAATGTGATGAGAGGAATGTTTTTTGCGATGTTTTATTTGAAGTTTTCAAACACTAGAGTGCCATTGGTGATGAGTGCTCTCAGATGGTAAGGCAGTGGCCATCCATTAAATTATATTTTCATGAGAAATATTGTGGGTAACTTCACAAATGTAAGACCTTATATTTGATCAAATATGTTGGTGTCTTTACAATCACACCACATAATCTGTATAAACTGAAGGGACACTGTGTAAGTTTTTAAGTGTAGAGTCTGAAACCTTCTACTGTCCATGGAGAAACTGTTCTCTTCCTTGGAATGTTCCACAAAATGGCATAAAACTAAGCAATCTCCATGGAGAGGAGCATATTTAAATAAATTAAAGATAGATATGTTTATACCATACTGTGGAATATTCTATAGGCATATCAGTAACATTTTCACGAGACTAGCAGATGACGAATCCTCCAACAGAAAACTTACAAAATGTACCTGTAACTTTTTAACTGTCCCATCCGTAGACTGTCCATATAAATGGATATACATGTGTAATTGCTGCTGTCAGGCTTTTCAGTTTGGTCTTAAAATGTTCAAATTAATCCACTCTACTCTCCTGGTGTTTTTATTTTGTTATTTTGTCCATAAATCAATTCTCATTCCTAATATGGAACAAATTCACCCCATAACTGCTAGCCTCAGTGAGCTTCATTTCAGTGGAGCCGAACGCTTATACTTGAACTTTATACAGTCTATGGTCCCATCTCATCACTTTGGCACAAATAAAAATAACAATCATAATAAATGGATATCTGATATTTGGGTATAACGTTACCTTCACTACAGGTTGGCCCCAGCCAGGTAAGTGGGCACAGACATCGCCCACTCAACCCATCACACTGTGCCCCCTGTGAACAGTGGCACGTCAGGGAGCAGTCTGGCCCAAACCTTGCTCCTCCGCAGTCTGCAGAGAAAGACATAGAATGAATTCATCCTTTCATATATTTTCAAAGGTAAATGGCAGATGGACTCACATAGTATTCACAAGGTGCACTGTGCAAACTTTTGTAGTGGAGGGCCTGTCAAATCCATTTCTCTATCCTTTCTTTGGATGTTTCACAGTATGGTATTAAACCTTTCTATCTTCATGGACACCAAACCAGAGCAAGTTACTGGTCAGATCTATGAATAGGTAACTCTGTCCACAGTCTAAATGCTTGTTTTTGTAATTATTTTTCAAGCTATATATCCACCTGTAATTGAATAAATGTAAGGTAGCTTTTTAATGTCATACTATGTAACTTTCCAGGCAGAGAAATTACATACCGGTATACAGGTAACAGACCCTCCAGCAGAAAAGTTACACAATGCACTTTAACGTGTTATTATTGATATCTGTGCATGTGCTCAAACTATTTCTACTCAGCATATCAGCTAATGTACTAAATGTAAAGAGAGTCAAGTCAGTACCCACCTTTTCCACATCTCTGGCCTGTCCGTCCTGGAGGGCAGAGACAGCGCCCTGATATGGGGTCACATAGGGCGTCACCTGCACAGTCACATGACTCTGTGCAGCCAGCTCCAAAAGTGCCCGCTTCACAACCTGTATAAATAAAAATAATGTATTAAATAATAGAATGTAGTGATGTTATCTGAAACCCAACAATAGTTAAAAATGTATAGACAAAACGTATCCACAAAATTCTCTTCAGCTAGTGTCCATAAATAAATAAAGAATAAATATGTAGCTTTTTGTCTAGATGCTAATGGACATAGCCAGAAGAAAAATATTTCACTGAGTTCTGTTTAATATGTATAATAATGAGTTCAGTGGAAGCATCAAACCACAGAGAGGTTGATCCAGTAATAAGAAAATGACCATTCCCTTTGACAGACACGGACTTCCTCACTTAAACTAGGCCTGCCTCCCAGCTGCTGCCCTGCCCAGCCTCCTCATCTCTCCCGCTGGGTCTGAAGTGGCCATTTATGTGCCCCTACTGCGACGGCGAGCCCCAGAGCAGGAGGAGGGCACAGGGATGTAACAGGAATGCATTAACCAGTCAGGAAGCACCTGTCTCTCATCATGTACCCGGCCGCCTGCCTGCCCACCTACTGCACTGGCCTGTTTGAATGCCAGCACTACACTCACACTGTTCTGTTAGAGCTTTTACAGGTAAACCAGCATACTCAGCCTGTTTAACTTTAAAGGAAACACATCTAATAAATCTAGCATGAATAGAAAATGTGATATATTTTATCTGTATTATTATGTTATTGGTTTTTTTTTTTTTTCAGTTTGTTCATATATTGGACTGACCTGGTTAACCCAATATCCAGTAAAAAAAAAAAAAAAGGGGGGGTTAGCAAATTTGTGTTCTAAATTTACAAATCATTTCTTTAATATTTCTTATCTTCCAAGTGTTATTCATTTGAGCAATGTGTTGCATTCCATGGTAATTCATACATTTTTATTTATTATTAACATAAAGAATGTTACAATTGCATTCACTTTATAGAACTGTACTATATAATCAATCACTCATAATTTTAGATGAAGAGACCACTGTTTTGACACAAAATGTCCAAGTTTATGATTCACAAATGTTGAACCTATTATTATTTGTAAGGGATAAGCTTCCAAAAACTTGAAGTCCTTTTAACTGACAACAATAGTCTTTGAGGTTAAGTTATGTAACCACTTGTTACTGTAACCACTAAATCTATTGTGAAAATAATTTTGTTTATTTGTGCTGAAGATCCACAATAGAATTCTGACCGGTCCAGCTCAGTTTAAAACTAAAGGGATTCTTGAATATTGTCATGTCACTTGAACTCAATCTATTGTCTAGTTTTACTCACGTCTTTGACACAGCAGCCCATAGTAGCCTGGTGGACATATACACTTCCCAGTCTGGTGGTCACACATTTGTCCCACTCTGCAGTCACATGTCTGAGCACAGTCTGCTCCAAAGAACCCTGGTGGACAACCTGAGAAATGCATAAGAAACAGTGTCATTTGATTTTGGGTGTTAAAGGACTCATTTCAAGTAAGTCAGTAAGTACGTTTCAGTCTACCTATACTAGAATTTGGCATGGGGATGAACCATGAAAAAACAAAAGCTAATAATTTAAGCAACTCAATCAATCAATGCTAATATCAGCACGCAGTTGTAAAGAAGGCAATTGGCCAACAGAAATTATCTAAATGAGTGTGGTGTTAAGACCTGTTTACATGGGAACGCTTGCAGGTAAAAAACTAAATATTTTATAAGAAGCGCCTTTTGTTTAGACGGTGATGGCGTTTTTGGGGCTTAAAAATGCAAAAATCTGAAACCCCCCTCCAGAGTGGAAAATTTGAATACACTCACGCACACTGTAGAGTTTCCGTCAACACTGCCCAAGACAAAAAACTCTGTTCAGATCTGCTCACGCTGTGTACGCGTTTACGTCACAGACATCATCACCTAGCGTCACCACCTAGTTGCCTGGCATGCATACCCAATCGAATTCCACACACTTTTGCAACACCGTATGCATGCAGATTTCCTCCTGAAAACACTCAACTAACGCGGAATAAAAAGTGAAGATGTGGTGCCACTTTTGCACTTTCTCTTCAGACCTTCATCATATAAACGTAGCCTCAAATTATGGACTTGAAAACTGCTCAGGATTTCTACTTTTGACATCACAAATCAGGAAAAATTGAAAAGGAGTGATTTCTGAGGCATAGAGCAAGACGACCTCGTAAACATCATTAATGAAATAAGCGTGAATGAAGCTAAATACAACTCCAGATATGTTTTGGCTGAGGAAATAATGTTATAACATGCTTAAAATCCCAAAAAGTCCATTTAGCATAATATGTCTCCTTTAATTTCAACGCTTAGTGCAGTTACGTAATAGAACTGTTAACTTACTGTGCTGACAGGCATGGCCGTAGTAACCCGCACTACATTTACAGGCTCCTGTTGCAGAGTTACATGTTGCATTATGAAGACATTGACACTCGTGAGCACAGCCCGGGCCATACTTTCCCATTGGACAGGCTGCAAACAAAAATACACAAACACAACATTTCTGAGCAGTGGTTTCAACATAGCTTAGTAGCAATCTCGAGAATTTATTGGGCATATGGTCCATGTGGAGACGCTTTGGCTAAAACCGCTACAAAGCAAGTCACTGAATGTTACTTGATTGCATCTGTCAGCAATAAAAGGCATATGTCAAATGTGACTTTTTAAAGAAACTATCATAAACTGCTAATGGCTGGATTGAGCGCATGTAAAGTATAATGAAAGGAAATCTGATTTTATCTCATGATATTGTTCAGAGAGGCAGAAAAAAACATGTTTTCTTAACTTTGAGTAAACTAAACTTTGTAGACATTTTCATGGTCAACATCAAGAACTTAACAAGCACTTTCATTAGATACTTTCAAGTTGTGGTAAGTTTATTGCTGGTGTGTTTGAAAGTGTTAAGGAATCTAAAGTTGTACTTGCAAATGGAAAATGATAGACCAAAATGTCACTGAACGTCTTTTTTGTTTAATATGTAATGGCATAATGTAAACGGAAAAAAGTGTGTCATATGAAAATGGTTAAGGAGGATGAATATATCCATTGTACACCACGATTACACTGTTAGATGATTAAAAGCACAGCACTCATAACAAGTCATGAATGTAGTTCTCCATTTTGGTTAAAACTATGTAGCAAACTTTATAGTTTTTTTTTTTTTTATTTTTTTTTATTACAACATAGCTATTGACATGAACTCACAATTCATATTCAAAAACTGACACATTTTTAGCGTGATTTTTTATTTTTTTTTAAGCCGTGGCAGCAAGTGGGCCTTCCTCAGGTACACAGGTATACAAGTATATGTGCCTCCAATGACAGAGAGGGACCTAAAAAATACCACGACCTTTAGTTTACATGTTAAAATGTGTTTTTAACAGGATACAAATACAATTTAAGGCGGTCCATGAAGTGTGTATGAATGTTATAAAACACACACCCACACATGTATTAATGAAAATAATCTATTTGCAACCTGAGAAAGCTCATGGACTGAAAAGGATTTCTACTTTTAATGTCACACATCAGGGAAAACTGAAAAAAGTGATTTCTGAGGCATAAAGCAAATGACCCTATAAACGGAGTAAATGAAACAAGAGTGAATAAAGGGAAATACAATGTCAGGTATGTTTTGGGTGAGGGAACAGTGTTAAAACATGTTTCAAAGCTTAAAAAATCAGTTTGCAACCTGAGGAAGCCCATTCTAGCCAAAAAAGCTGGTTGGTGTGTATTTTATGTCAGTAGCCATGCTGTAATAAACGTTTTTTTTTTTTTTTTATTTTCTCCTCCTCACCTGTTTGACACTGTGACCCCATCCAGCCCGGGCCACACTTGCAGGAGCCATCTAAGGGATCACATGGCGCTCCATTCTTACAGCTGCATGAGCTTCTGCACTGAAGCCCAAATCGGCCCCTCGGACACGCTGTGCAAACATGGAGAGAGCATCAGAAACTGCACAATTACAATCACATCAAAACCAGACAGTCAATAAACTGCCTGATACGCACTAACCGCCTTGTTTATTCAAGCTACACTTCATTAAGAGATACTAAGCTAGTCTTGTTTGGCGCAGATATAAAAGAATAATTATGTTTCTATGGGTAATTTGAATCGGGGAAACAAAAAGCAAGATGTCTTTGATTTTTCAGTTTGTTTATTTGCTTCTTAGCCAAATTCAGCAGCATGGAACACAGTGCAGGCTACTTATGGATCGTTTTGTGTAAACATTGAACATGGGGAATTTTAAAAGTGGTGCATCCAAATATGTGCAGAAGATTTCAGCATAGGCGAGAATGGAAAGCCCCGTTGATAAAGAAGATTAGACAACCCCACTTGGCCCCTGTTTCCCTGGAAAAACATGCTGTGATCATCAGAGGACTCACAAAGAGGAAATGGGCCAGTTGTTTCTTAATAGACATAAGTACACCCTGGTTATTAGGGTTGTTATGGAAATTGTAGTATTGACTTTTTATTTCTTTTGAGGTTAGGGCTGATAGTTCCCATTGCAAAATGTGAAGAGATACCATGTGTGATGATAATAAATGTTGAATATTGTGATGATATTCAACAGATGTAGACCAAACTGTCATGCTTATTGTATTAGTTTTTTGCAATAATGGCCTGATTAACTAAGGACATTTTTTATGATGTACACACTATGAAAAACATCTAACAGTTTCCTGCTAAATATTAAACTATTCAAGACCAATCAAAATAGTAGATAGAGGTTAGCATTAATAATAGCTAGATGGCTTATATAATTTGAATGACTACATATAATCCATGCATACACATATTTTTAATACCAAAATGGACATTTACAATAAGCCAATGGACAATATTAGCATTTAACGGCCCTGTACTGGATTTTTTCCCATGTGTTCGAGCAAAATGTGTCTTGCCCCAGTAGGTCTACAGATAATAAAAGAAAACAAATTGTCAGATAATTTGTGTGTTTAAATGCTGTAAATTATGCAAACTGAATTACTGAAAAATACTAACCAAAAATAAAATAAAAATCATCATGATAACTGTTATGGCAAACCTCAGCACGGGTTTCTGAGAATTGTGAAAGCATTTATAAATTCATTGTGTTGAAGAATTAGGGTTAAAAGAGAAACAGCTTTGAACCATTACAAATAGTTAAAAATGTTACTTCTAGTTCTGTCTTTTCAGATTTTTCAAACTTTAAAAAACAGGTGCAATGCCTTTAAACACTTCTACTTTTAAATTCTTCAATAAAAGCTTTGGCATTACCTTGTTGGCAGGAAGGACCAATCCAACCAGGTGCACAGACACACTTCCCAGTGACCGGATGGCACTGTCCTCCCTCTCCACAAGAGCACAGCTTTGCACAGTCCTTCCCATAATAGCCGTTTGGACAACCTAAACAAGTCAACATAGCTTCAACGCACAGTCAAATACAATACTCAAAAAGTCAAAAGCGAATGGGGCCTGGTTTTAAGAATTCACTTTTATCTGCAGTTTTAAGAGCCTACGTCGAAAGCGCCACTTGATTTTGAAAAGAAAACAGACAGACAAAAAACATTGAGTGGGGACAGGTGCATGCTTGTCTTACTTGAACTGCAGTTAGCTCCTATGTAGCCAGGCAGACAATGGCAGGCCCCGGTTCTGAAGTCACAGCGCCCCCCATTCACACAGCTGCACCGTGATTTGCAGTTGGGTCCAAAAGTGCCCGGTCGACATCCTGGAGACAAGAGACAAAGTAGAAAGTGAGGAGAATACTGCGGAGGAAATGGATGTGGATGAATAAAAGCACAAAATTCGTACGTAGGTTGCAGCGTGCCCCATGGTAACCAGGTAGGCAGCTGCACTTGCCGGTCACGGGATGGCACTGTTCCTGGTCCCCGGAGCACTTGCAGATCTGGCTGCAGTTTTGGCCGTACATACCGTCAGGACAAGCTACAAAGAAAAGATTATTTTAAGAGCAAAATATCATTCTGTTTTATCTATAGTTGTAAAGGGCCCCAAAGTTTCTGATCTATATAATAAATAAACATGTAAAAAAACGGTTAACTTGAAGATTACTGCTTCATGACATCATGAGGTGGAATCAGAGCATTTTGAGCTTTGGAGCTGTAGACTAACTATAAAAGGTTACTCAAACATGTAAGAATGAAACAAAGGTCAACTCCGGGTATGTACATTCTGGCTCACAGGAGTTGATTTTGCTCAATATGAATATAGGATCTTTAACACATATGTCATTAGGGTCAAAACTAGACACTCAAATGAACAAATATCTATAATGGTGAAAAAAAAAAAAAGTTTTAGAGTTGTCATGAGCAAACCTAGTAGTCTATAAGGCCACATGATAATATAAAAGAAACTACGGTACTAATATTTGTGTTGGAAATTGTATGATGTTGTATTAAATGTGTTTAACTGTACTTAGTGAACATAATGCCTGTTTTATAGGGATGTACCAATAACTGAAATATTGTGATATCGTATCATCAAAAGTCTCACACTAATATCATGGGCTGTCACAATATATTGAATTACAAGTTCCTTTGCTTAAATGTATGGTTTTATAGTAGCAATAGCTTATGAACATCGGAAACTACATATCCCATGATTCATTGCAGAGCACACAACATGAAGATATGGATTTTACTTGAATTCTTGGGATTATGACAGAAATAATCCACACCGAAATCTTGTCAAGGTATTTCAAAAGCAAAAAGGTGTCCCATCTACTATTATATTAGCTTCTTCAAAATATTGCAATAAATATCGTACTGTGTGATGCATATCATCATAATATGGTACCAAGAGATTTGGATATCATTACATTCCTACTATTTTACATACAGTTTTGTCCTGGTCCTACTTGAAAAGTCTACATAACAACCACGTTCTCAGTACAGAGTAAATCCAATATAAGATTAGTCGAATATGTAGACTAAACCAGGCCAGAGGTTTTGGTGTGGGGCTTTAAAGGGTACTGGTTTACCCATGACCCAATGCAGGAGAGAGCCCTCAAAAAGGGTGCAATGTGCATTTCCTATTCATGAGTTTCAGAATAATGAGAAATTAGGACAGCTGCCATAGTTATAAAGAATTCACAGCAAAATATTGTTTTGAATGGGAAAAATCCTCAAAATCATGCATGGTTTCTACCCAAGGCCCAGAAAATCTGTCTACACCCTTTAGGCCAATCAAGATGGCAATGATACCTTCACAAACCATGAGAAAACACCCATTCGCCTCTCCAGTCCTCCAAATATTCCTCTGTGAAAACGCTGCTACTTTCACTAACGACTGGTGACTTCTGCAAAACTCCCATCAGCCAGGGCATTCTTTCACACAGTCTGTCTGTTTACCCAATGTACATCACCAAAACTAATGAAGCCCATGGACCATCAGTCACAGGGCAGGAGATGAAACATTGTACTTAGTTGGGATTAGTTCTTGGGATTTCGAGTCCACCACACCACAACAACAACTGTAGCAGCAAACAGGCTAGCGGCATAAGGGAACAGATAAGCACAGAGCTCCAGACTAAAGAGGTAATTACGGGGCTGTCATTATGCATGTCTGCCTTGCAAAAGCCCTTATCCGCTGTGGAGGAGACAAAAACAATGCCTAATGTTTTGCTTGGCAGACGCTGTGTAACATTTATCAGATGTCTGGGGAGTGTGTGAAGAGAGGAAGGGAGGGGGAGAGGGGCGGAGAGCTGAGGCCGTGGACAGATCTCTGAAGAGGCCATGGAGCGAAGCAATGGAAGGTACGATGGAGCTTCCTGTGAGAGGGAGAGTGGAGGTAATGGGTAGGGGTGGGATAACTGCTACTGATTTCTTGAAAACATGTATGTAGGCATGTCACAGTAATTACTATATCGACTTATAGTTCAACACAATATAAATGAAAGAATGCTTTCTGGGGATCAATATTTATCGTGGTACGTCTTCTTTGTAATAGTGGGATATTTTGGGTTATTTTTCTGCAATATGATAAAATTTGAGTTTGATAGATTGAATTATGAACTAAAATTATACACATTTTTCTGGTGGAGGCTCTGCCACATGCTTGTCTCCATGGAGATGTTATTGCATTGTTTGGTTACTAAATAACATTTATTGACATATAACTTGGCCCTACGGCGTCAACTGCTGTCTCCATAGAGATTAATCATTGCATTTATATAGCACCTTTCAAGATACTCAAAGCTCTTTACAGTTCATTATTCATTCACTCAACACTCAGTGGTGGTAAGCTACTACTGTAGCCACAGCTGCCCTGGGGCAGACTGAGTGAGGCTGCCAATCTACACCATCGGCCCATCTGACTACCACCATCAGTCATGCACACACCACTTTCTTACTAGGTAATGTAGGTGAAGTGTCTTGCCTAAGGACACCAACGACAGTTTTTCCAACTGGTGCCCCATGGTGGCACCCTGTGGTCTCCCATCCAAGTACTAACCAGACCTGGCCTTGCTTAGCTTCTGAGATCTGACGAGATCAGGCTTTGCCAAGACGGTATGGCCACGATAAATAAGTGTAATGCCATACTGTAACAATCTAGGCAACATCTCCATGGAGAGAAGCAGGTGACGGACCCTCCACCAGAAAATTTACACAGTGCACTTTTAAGTGTTACATTCTGCTATTTATTTATACAGCTCCACAATATTTAACAATATATGTCATTTAGAATACTCTTCATGGATTATTCTGCTTTATGGTTTGGGTTCAATATTATCCTCTATATTTCAGCAAAATATCACATTTCAAAATTTGTTATCATGAAAGGAATTACCATGCAGATCAGAATCATCATCTTTTCCTATTGTGATTTTTTTCAACTCCCACTTACTAGTAGCTGATGTTTGATTCAAACCTATTGCCAAATAAGCATCAGTATCAGACAATTGCCAGACCAAACCTTGTCTTGTGTTGTTGAGCAAAGCACTTCACTCACATTGCCCATACCAAGCACAAATAGATGAGGCTATTTGCAACTGGAAGGGTTTACTATCTTCTGATAGACGTGTCCGCCACCTGTTTGTCTTCATATAGATTATATTACCTGAAATGTTCCACAGTACGGGTCCTAATTCAACCTATCTATTTCATGTGACACATCTGGTGACGATCTGGTTTAGGTCTGTGTATAGACGAGCTTGCTCACAGTGAAAATGTGTTTGAAGGTATACAGTTCTAGCAATAAAAACTAAAAGTCAAGAGAGATTTTAAGGCCATGGGACAAAGTAAGCATGACTATAGATCAGATTATACAATTATGATTTTTAAAGGTCCAATATTACACAAAATTCACTCTTTTGAGGTTTAAGCCATGTTGTAATGTTGTTACCTCATCAAAAACATACCAGAAGTTGTGTTTTGTTTCATTCACACATGTTGGTGTAGTCTTTTATTATTAATGTGACTATATTTGTATTTCTACTATTCCATTTACATTTTCCTATTTCTACTATTTCTACATTTCTACTATTCCATCCTACATATAGTAATAAACTCTTATCTTACTTTTCTCACATCCTGGGCCTGTAAATCCAGCGGGGCACCCACAGCTCCCGGTCTGGTGATGGCAGGACACTCCACGCTGGCACTGACATTGCTGGCTACAGGAAGGACCAAACCACCCCGGGAGACATGCTGAGGGGCATACGACAACGATGTTCAATATTTTTTCACATACAATGACCTGTGATTTCCCCTGATCCATAGATACTTACGTTTGTCACACCTGGCACCCCTCCAGCCTGGCTCACACTCACAGCGCCCTGTCGTGTGGTGGCAGCTGGTACTACGAGCACAGTCACAGCGCTGTTCACATGCCACTCCAAAGAAGCCCTTAGAACAAGCTATGAAGAGACACATTTTCTTTTTAGATGCAAATTTGCAATTCAAATTAATCTTGAATAATGTGCTTGCTTTGCACTATGCAAGTGGTGTGTTTTTTATGCAGTTCTTTTGAAAACAAATAAGTACATAGTTTTGATAGTGTCGCTAATATGGTGATTGTTGACTTTATATGCAAAAAAATATATACTCATGATAACTGAATCTATGTCACAATTTAAAAGTTAGAATCAGAAAATAGAAAATTAGAAAAGACCTTTTTCTGTATTTCATCTTTCTCTTACTTGTCAAACCGAATGTTAGCATTCATTCTCACTATCCTTCCCCTGTACATGTCCAGATCTATGTTCCGCGTTCACCTGTTTGACAAAGATCTCCAGTCCATCCGGATAAACAGGCACAAGCTCCAGTCACCCTGTCACATCTCCCTCTGTTTACACATCTGCAGGTCTGTGAGCAGTTCAGTCCAAAGTACCCCTCCTCACACTCTTCAACAGAACAAGAGAGAAACACTTTCGAGATCTTTGTAGGCCTTAAATAGTAAAAACAGCAGTGTAATAAAAGATCATATGTAGTAATAGAGTGTGACTGACCAAGCTCGCAGGCCGCCCCAGTCCACCCGGGTGGGCAGGAGCAGAGCCCACTCACAGATTCGCAGGAGCCTCCATTCTGACAGAGACACTGGCCAGAGCAGTGGTCCCCATAGAGACCTGAAGGACAGGCTAAACCACACACAGAGACATTTAGGAACAAAAATAAAAACTATGTGAAAGTTATTGCTTACAACACTGTGGTTGAATAAAACATATTTTCATAATTTTTATATTGTTATGCTTCTTTGTGGCCACAGTATTGAGTAGGACCCGTCACATTGCCACAATTGTTTTGCTTTCATTTACTATGTTCAGTTGTGTAACAATATGTCAAAATGAAAGATTTTGTGTTTCTTTTTCTGAAATCAAGTAGTACTAGTATCAACAGTCTGTGTTTTTAACCTCAAGCCATTAATATAAATACATTCCCTGTGCCTTTTTTTTTTTGGAAGAAGTTGCAGCTGAAGTTACAGCTTTGTAGCCTGATTCATCAGCCGGTTTCACTTTGTAGAAACCGTCTGACCTCACAACATTAGAATGTGTTCACTCGACGGTACGCAGATACTTTTTTTTTCATTTAACCAATCGTTGCTATTTGGTTGTGACTTATGTAATGCTAACAGGGCTAACTGGTATATTAAGCTTTTCCCAAGATGGGCAATAACGTCTTTCCCCTTGATAAAATTCACCAAACATTCTCTTTGTTCCGGCTTTAAATCACACAAAGCAGCAGAATCAATGCATTCATGTTAGAACATTATTACGGAATGTTGAATTCAGCATTTATTTATTTACTTATTTATTAAGTCATTCTTAAAATCTGCATTAGTAAATTTAACATTAGTCTGAATGAATTTTATTCCTAATCTCTATAGGCCTTCCCAACATAAGAGCTTTCCAGGATCTAAGCACCAAAGTAGACTAAACCAACAAATGATTTATCTGTGAAAGTGTCTCCCAGTTAAATAAAAGTTATGTAACAGTTTGCTAAGAGATTGTGGAGGTGAAAAGCTACTCACACTCTGCACAGCTGATTCCAGTCCAGCCTGGCTCACATCTGCACTGGCCGCTCACATGGTCACACTTGGCTCCGTTCTGACATTCACAGGTTTGATTGCACCGCTCCCCAAAAAGACCCTCCGGACATTCTACCACACACAACACAAACTTTCACTATAGCACACACAAATATAGCATAGCGCTTAGTTAAAAGAAATGGCATTATTTTTAGACACGGCAAAACTTCGTAAACTTTTCCTAATGAACCCATCTGACATTTGCAGAGAAAAATGGGAAAATACACTAATGATAGAGATGCATCGTTAAGTCACGCTGGTGGCTGGTTGGGCTTTGGAAGTTGAGACCACAAAATATCTGTGGCGAGAGGAGAGCCCCGAATAAGGCTGGAGAATGACAGAGTAAGCCGTTTTAGTGGGCATTTCATTGGATTCATTAAAACAACGGCATGAAATTCTCTAGAAAAAGTTTTGCATGGGAACGCGGATTGGTTAGCTACTAAAAGCTCTCTCTGTTTGCTAATGTGGATGTACACGATTTTTTTTCTGTGCAGCTGGTAGAAGGTAGAAATGAGATCGTGGCGTGCTTTCTGCATCAGATTATAAAGAATGTGACTGTTTTTCTAACGAGAATCAGGAAGTGCGTTGTTAGCATGCTAGTTGATGTCGGCATTATTGTGATAGCAAAATTGCGATCTGGCCTCTGAAATTTATGAAACACTCTTAATCACTAGGGTGCTTAAGGTAAGTGAGGACTAACTTTGGACCTCTACAGACGATTTAAAATGAACTAGTTGTGCTGTTCATGTTTTCAAGACAGTAAAAATCAGAAAACTGTCTTTAATAAGGTATTTTTTTGACAGTTGAATCAAAGTCAACAAAATAAATGTGTTGTTTTTGTTAGTTTAATTATATCTGTAGTACAGGGTAGGGTAGACAAGTTTTGGCTTTTGTTTACATTATGGTTCTTAAGTAACTGTATTAATAAAAATGTGAAGTCTAATCTGTTATATGCGCTTTAAATGAATTAAACCATATGCTTGAGGGCACCCCTGTCTCGTACCCACCATTTGCCCATCTCCGATTACTGAGATAGCCTAATCATTCGCATATCCTAGGCGTATTCCAGGAGAGGATCTCAAGATGGCCTGCATAGCTCAAAGAGACCTCCCTCACACCCTCTTTTAATGATGTCGCTTATATTACCCTGAATGCAGTGTGGTCCTGCCCAGCCCGCGGTGCACAGGCAGGCTCCTGTGATGTGGTGGCAGCGGGCACCGTTCCTGCACTCGCACATCTGGCCACAGTCAAGACCGTAAAAGCCGTCCGGGCACACTGCGGGCACAGATAAAACGTGGCTACGGTCAGAACTGGCATCAAGAAGGCTATGGCTCACCAATAAGCTTATAATCCTCTGGCCTTTCACTCCTCTGACTCACCGCCAGCCCGAAATACTGTGGCAGATTGCATGACGGCATTTGAAAATGGTGTCTGACTGATTGATTACTTAACACTTAATTAATAACATAACATGAAAACACACTAAAAATACACAATATAATGAAGAAAGACAAAGAGAAAGGTTAAAGCGGCTATATTACACAGTTTTCTGATCTATGTTATAACAAATATACTGTACCTGGAGTTTTGTTTTGTTTCATTCACACATGTTTAACACACAAACCCTGCGTAGGATGAGTTCTCTTAGACGGAAGAAAAAAAAAGAAAATTCTTACACTTTCACTAGAATCATTTGGATGACTCCAGCCTTGGAATTGCCCATTTCTACTGAACTAAAGGTAAAAGGTAAACGTAAATTTGAAAACTACCACTACATGACATCACAAGGTGGAACAGAGCATTTTGAGCTTTGGAGATATAGACAGATTAATAAACTCAAACTTGTGATTCATTCATATGTTTGAGTAACAAAACAAAACTCCAAGTATGTTTTTGATGAGGTAACAATGTTCTAACATGGCTAAAAGCTCAAAAGAGTAAATTTTGAATATATAGGACCTTTAAGGGTTAGGGTTACGAAGACACTGAAACTTATTTAAACCTACCCGCAACTAATTTTTAGAATTTTTCATAAAGTATTACTCTATGTCCACATAATCAGAGGACATCCCGTCACTAGAGCTGAACAAATTGGTAAAAATATGTAATTGTGATTTTTCTGACATGCATTGCGATTGGATTTACAATTTCTGTTTTAATAATAGGACTCGTCTTCCAGAAGATTTGATAACTGACATATATGAACTGACAAACTAATAAAGAATCACATTTCAGAACACGCTTGTACACATCTAAACTATGAGCTTAGCAGTTTTTATCCAGAATAATATTGTGTGATGTTTTGTGGTTTGTGGAGGAAATTATGGTAGTTCAAAAGCTGCAGTATTTTTGTTTTGCTAATTGTGTTCATTCAAGTTGCAGTTTCCACTTGATTGTGATTAAACTTGAAGCCCTATTACCCATGCAAAATAATAATCATATTACTATTTGATATTTAGCATAAACATAACTGCCATAGGTAATATTTAATTTTGAATTTACAGTTACCATTGAAAATGTGCATTGTATGAGTTCAACAAATATAGTTAGTGTGTAATTGTGTAAAAACATTTCTTTATCTAGTGAGTTCTTTGCCTCTGTACCTGAATGTGAAGGAGCAGGTTGTGAATGTGGCATGTCACCTGCATGATTGCAAATTAAATTTAAAGTTAATACCATATCTCAGAATATTCTCTAGGTAAGAGTCAGGTTTGTGGAGATGCAAGCCCGTTCAATGTAAGAATACAAGTTTTTAAATGCAATAAATAATCAAATTGAGGAACAAGCTTATATTTTAATCTATTTATGCCTGACAGGTTGCGTACTGTTGCTTTAAATTTACCGGGCATAGTTCCAGATCCCTTTTTGAGTCTACTCCACAGTCTTCAACCTATTTACTGTAGTACAAAAATTTTAATTGTTCTATGTCATGGAATCTTGAAATGGAGTGCCTCTTGAAGGTTATATCTACCCATTCGTCTGCGCTGGGCCCACATGTGCGGAAGATCTGGGCCACTTCAAAGCTGCAGAAAGCATGGGGCATGGGGCGGTAGAGTTGTGGGGTGGAGGTTGCACAAAGAGTGGGTAATTAGGGCACCTGCTGGGTCCACAGGCCGCACTTGTAAATGCCGAAACAAGACTGGTTATTTGGCCCTCCCGAAAGATACACTTAAGCACGGCAGGGCTGCGCAGTGTAAGATAGAAACAAGCAAATAAAGAACAGATGGAAAGTGATGACAAAGTGATTAAATAGATAGACTTTTATGGGGTTTTCTGAGACGCAATGAAAACCAACTGAGCAGTATGTCATACAGGCGTGTTCCATAGCAACAAGGGTTTCAGAAAGTGGCCAATGGGACGTCTTGTAGTACTGCAAGTCTCCCAGTCAAGTGTAAATGGTTTGCTCTAGAGAAAGAAGCACTCTGGTGGTGTGAAAACAGTATTGAACAAAATAATGAAAAAAGAAGATTAACTACTATTGCTACTACAAAAAAATAAAAACCCCAAAACTAGAAAGCCTACTTGTAGTACTACCATTCTATAAAGTACAACTATGTAAGTTTTTTGGTGAAACATCTCCCTTTTCTTCATCTCCAAGGAGATGTACCTTATTTTTCAGACTATAAGCTGTACTTTTTTCATGGTTTGGGAGTTCCTGCGACTTATACTCCATTACAACTTATACGTTAAAATTTTCAGACTGACAGTTGCAAGAGGGCGCTCTAGGCTTGTGTACTCCTGTACCACTGTCACTTCGCTCTACTGCGCATATCGGCTACAAAAGAAAGAGAAAGAGCCACTGTCCTGTCTGGTATCATGTCAGTCAATTGCACCATTACTTCTGTATCACTGACAATTTAAAATTTAAACAAACATAAAGACAACTGAAAGCATCCTGCCAGGATTCAGAAAGGCCGGAACAATTCTAACTGGAACTGATGCTGAGTTTGATGACAGCTACGCAGAAGAGGAAGCGACGCTCCGTTTACCTCTGGAGATGGTGGAGTTGCTCAGAAGTGACACCGAGGATAAAGATTTCAATGGATTTTGTGATTTGGAGTGAGATCAAGAGTTTAGTAAACTTGTTGTTATGTTGTTTATGCTGTAGTTATCTGAATAACTGTTCATATGTGACGTTAACAGACTGTCGTTCTCTATTCTACTCTTATTACTATAACTTGCCTTTCAAGATGAAATGTTGGTTCTCTGATTTTATAAAATAAATTTCCCCTCAAAAGTGTGGCTTGTAGTCCGGACTCATATATATTTTTTTCTTCTTCATTACACATTTTTTGGCTGGTGCGACTTATACTCTGGAGCAACTTATAGTCCAAAAAATACGGTATATTTCTTTGCCTGAAATGTTCCACAGTATGGAACATTTGGGAACACCACTAAAACATATATATATCTTGCTGTGAGAAAACCTGTCACTTGGTTGGGTGGCGTCACCTGCTTCACTCAGTGGAGATGCCTTAAATGGGTGAGACTTAAGTTTAGGGAACACATAATAATTGCTTACTAAGTGATAATTGGTATGCTAAGCTGTTACTTAGCTATTAGTTGGTATTTATCAAACTGGCTTATTAAGATTTCAGTGTATGTACAAAACATCTCTTGTAATCCCCACAACTTTAATGGTAAGAAAGTGGTTAATAATATAGTACCTGCAAAATACAGCCTTAGACAAAAATGCATTGACAGTACTTTATAAATAGTAACAAAGATGTAATTAAGTATACTTATGCATTTTACCTTTAGCTAGTTATTGATATGTAGTTTTTAAATTCCTGGCAAAACAAACCAAATACCTCTATGAAAACAAAAAAGTGGTGAAAAAAGTGAATTATTACATTACATTATAAATAATTGAGATACTTAACTATTCCATTTCAATGACACCATTATTCACTCACTACTACACAATTTGATGATAAGCAGGGTTCATACACAACTCCACGCTTCCTGAGGCCCTCGATACCTGTCCCATACTCCTAAACATGTCAGCGAGCATGCAAAATACATTGACAGTGGTGCTCAGTAAACACAGAATGCTTCCCAGTCCACATGAACCAAGCCAGAGCCCACGAGATGAATGAGCCCTTTCCATAAGTGGACTGTAAATATTGTCTGTATGCATGACTTCACTACGCAAGGCAAGAACTGCTCCGTTTAGTCACTGCCCTATTTCTGATGGCTCAATTTGTCACCGGACAGTTGACTAGATCCCATATGTACACCATGACGCCATTTCTCTGCCAGATGTCTTCAATGATTAGCATGTGTTCTGATTTCCAAATAATATTCACAAAAATATATAGCCATTGAGCGCTGTTTTGGGAGTGGGCCCGACATCTGCATAGTAAAAAGTGCTCTCCTAATTATCTCAGCGTTGCATTTATCCACTACGTCTTTGTTTTATGGGCAAATCAGTGGACCATGATACCAAAGGAAGCCACAAATTGAAGCGTAAGGGCGATGTGTAACTTGGTGGTTGGCTGTTTTTGCAAAACCCACAGTTCTCCTCCTAACTTCAAATGATGATGCAGTCTACTTATTTTACCCTTTTCAAAACAGAGGTGGGTAGTACATAAGTTAGATTTACTTGAGTACTTTTGTGAAGAAATTGTACTATACTTACTCTTCTATACTGCTACTTGATGGATATTTTCCTGCAGTAATAGTTGATACTCTTCCAACTACGATCTATCCATGGATGTGATAATGATGAAAAATTAGAACCACTGCCATAGTAATTAACAAATGATTTAAAACAAAACATTAAATCTTTGTGGATGGGAAAAGTCCTCAAAATGATGCAGATAACAGGAATCTGAAACCCATAAATAAGTGCTAAAAGTGTTCAGAAATACTAGAATTTGGGCATGATTTCTTGCTTTACGGTTACTTAAGAAAGTATTTGGTGTATTGCTTTATAACTTCTACATAAATAAGATAAATTTAAAGACACACTGCACCTGATTTTACTTTCTTAAAATTTGAAAAACTGAACTAGTTCCATTTTGAATAGTTTGCAGTGGTCCAAAGTTGTTCCTCACTTACATTATCCATTCCAAACTAATTATTCACCACGGTAAGTTTATAACCCATGACGGTAAAGCTAACAACAACTAGCATGCTAACGTGCACTTCCTGATTATTACAATAAAACAATAAAATGCTTTCAAATTAAATGCACGCAATACACAGTTACCGTATTTTGACCTCAAAGGCTACAGTATATCTGTACTGGGGCAAGACAATTTTTGCTCAAATACATGGGAATAAATTAGGAACTTGAAGAGTAGTACTGAGACAGTTATTTGAATAGCCTGTTCACGAAATACATATTTGCTGAGAAAATATGTCACTATTTTTATTTCTGCATAAGTAAGATTAATTAAAGCAATGGTACATCTACGTTGCTTGTGTACTCAAACTAGACTGTCTTGAGTATCCATCTTGAGGCCTGGTCATCTGTGTGTTCCCACGCTGACAGCAGGCAGCTCCTTGCCTGCTTCTTTAGTGGTTAAACTGCATTGTTATTAAAGCTGGCCCAGTCAGGGTAAAGTCATTACGCAGCTGTACTCTGGGCCTGTGGTGCTTCACTGTCTGGTGTTGATTTTAAAGCATTTGCTAAACGTCATGGCAACAAGATGGTTTTGCTGTTGTGTTGGAACAATCGGGGGATTTAGACTTGTTTATCTCAAGCTTGGGAAAGAAGATAGTGGGGATAAAATTGTTAACAAAATTTGTACATGTTAAAAAACAGACGTAAGTAGCAATGTTATGTCTGAAAATGACAGTAAACTTGTGACAATAGAAAAAAAAAAAAAATCCAGTTTGATTTCACTGCTTGATTAAAGCATAAAACTCATAATAACAATGAAAAATACACTTTGTATTTAATGTAGTCAGCTCATGCATGCTTTGGTATAATGCAATTTTCTAAATATTATTATTATTTTAACACGACGTCTGCTCAAATGTGTGTCAAGCATAGATAGTTTTAGCAGGCCTATAAATTCACCTCAGCACAGTGTGAATTTTGAATGCATTTTAAATGAAATAAATTAAAATAATTAAAATCATAATTAAATATAATATATAATTAGAATAACTGAACCATTATCTCACAGTTTCTTTTCACAGTTTTTTTCATTACAAACAAGAACCTGATGAAAGTGCCAAAATCCCATTGGAATTCAGTCAATACACGTTAGAATGATTCAGACTGAGGTAGAGTGTTTAAATAGTTATTGAACCATTGAATCATGAATCATTCTTAATAAGCCATTTGTTCATTATGGATTACGTCTGCGTAATTAAGGCTAATTAAGATGTAGTTATCATAAAGCGTTACCGTGAAGTATAATATTTACTCATGCCAGCAGGGGGTGCAATGTCTCCTTTCATTCCCTCCAGTACAGTTAATAATCAGTCATGTACCATTACCACTCTGCCTGTCTGTGTTTAAAGTCCAGAGTCTTCTCCTCCTCTTTGTTTATAGGTAGGCACCGAGAATGTAGGCCGGCAGCACCACACACGCTGTGCCATGCATCGCCCAGAGACCCCATCCCTCCTCTAAATGAGCACTTTAAGACAGACGGATTATTTCCAGATCCCGGCTTGTGTAAGAGCCACTGCTGTCAGCCCATAAAGCAGGGAGAAGGACCACACAACCGGGGAGAGGAGAGGGAGAGAGCAGGGCGGATGAGAGAACCACCTCCAATACAACTTCCTGCTCCAAGTCTATGAAGTAAAAAGGACAACACAACAAGAACTAAACAAGAAACGAGCAATGATACGGATGTCCGGTGCCAATCAGACCAGTGGTTCTTTTTCGGCTGTGAAAGAGCAAATGGTTTGATGCCATCTTCAAAGTGAGTCCAGACTGAGCTATTCATCTCAAAGGCCTTCAGGATCACTGTGGACAATCCTTCCTCACAAAGTGGCGATGTAACAATAGCTTTTCAACTTGTCGATGGCGAATGGGAACATTACCAAAACACTGTCAAACTCACACAATGAAGACAAACGCTGGTGTAAAGCGCACAAATTCAAACATCGGTAGTATCTAAATTATTTAAAAACTTATTCATATTTATAAATGTCAATTATTGAATTCCTATCACGAAAAATAAAAAACTTCTAGTCAGGTTTTAAGGATGTCAGAATCAAAACACAACTGATCACTGACCACGGTTAAACAAACTAAGTACGCAAAAGGTTACCACAAAGGTTGAGAAAATATTAAACGGTTTATAGCAAAAAAATTTTATTAAATAAAAATAAAAATTGATTGATAAAGTTCATGGTGTTTTCCGAACTAACTCCCTAATTAAAAGTTAATAATTCCAACTTTACACAAGAAAATACATGTACTTTAAATTATAAGTAAATATTGCACAGTTTAGGCCTTTACAAATAAAGGTTAAAACTGTATTATGATGAACAATAAAATCTGGTATCATTTCTAGTTTATTTTGCTTTGAAGGCGTAACCCAAGGCATAACATTTTGTACTAATTTCCACATTTTTATGATGAAACTGAAACACAGCTATTTTAAAATACATTATTGGTATACTGGTAAATTTGTCATTTTTATTCTAATTACTTCAGGATTTAGGATTTTCCAAACATATCCCATAACCGAAGAAGGGCCAACTATTTTTCTTGAATACAACATGAGACCAATCTATCTTCGTAGGAGTCATTTCGTTTGAATTCCTGATGAACATGAGCGATCTGGACCTTCTCACAGAGGAGCCTGCTTCCTGACTTCTCCTCGAGGAAGAGGCCCAGCAGAAGATGGAGAAACAGGACACCTCTGTTTTAAGAAAAAGCGCCTACGGAAAACAAGTCGGGGACAGGAGTGATGGCCCGGTTTCCACGACGATGTCCAATCAGGGAGACTGCGGCCATTAGACTGTTATGGCTAGGGACGGAGAGCTCACGTCTAGAGTGACACGGTTGTGATTTATGACGCCTGGCTAACTACTGTAAATCTTAGACATTGCAATAACAAAGGATCACTTCAGCTAAAAGACTATAATCAAAGCAGGATTCATTACGTTGTTGAGACAGTCGGACTGATGGTATGCCCAACAAATCAGGAAGGAATAACTTTGTAATGACAAGGTTTCCGGATACGTTCAGCTTGCCTTTTTCTGAGTAACATATTGCCAATAATCTCTAAATTGGTCAGTGTCAATAAAAATTAGCCTGATTTTGTTTTGGGTTTTTTTTTTTAGTCTTTTTTGTAATCTTTTTAATGTTATTGCGTGTTATGTTAATCATTAAGTTAAGATCATGGCAAGTAAGTGACAGAAAACAAACGCTCAAACATAACCTGGCTTGTACTGCCCTCTAGTGGAGCCAAATATGTTAATCTTGAAGGAGCGCAACAGAGAAGTCATCAGATTACAAGGAAATGTAGTATATACTTGTGTTTTTTTTATTTTACTTTTAATTTTGCAAGAAATGTACAACTTGATCTTCAAAATAGTATTCCAATTACTTTTACTGCTATATCCATACACGACACATAAAAAAATCTAAAATAATAAATCTGCAGAATTTATCAACCATTGGTTGCTAAAAAATTGGTCAGCATTGGCCATGAAAAAACCCACATCTGTCCATCTCTACTGTTTATGCTCTTTTGGTTTTTGTTGTTTATGACTGTTTTAGTGTTATGTTTTGGTTTGTTATTATTATAACTACATAAAATCTTCAACGTTTGGCTAGTGACTGATGTTAATCCAAAACTCTTAAGAAAAAGAAACACAAAATTTGACTAAACTTACTTTTTTCACAGTGTGTCCCGGCGTATCCAGGAGCGCAGGTGCAAGCCCCACTCACATGGTCACACAGAGCTGCATTCTCACACTGACACCGGTGGGCACAGCCTGGGCCATAAGTGCCATTTACACACTCTGAAAATAAACACACATTATTATATTACACAAAGGCACTGTGGATTTGAAATGGGATGACAGCTTTCATTTAATAATGTTGGAAGTACTCACTCTGTTGACAGTGCCATCCAGTGAATCCATCCTCACAGAGACACTGACCTGTCACTGTGTCACAGCCCAAAGAGCTGTCGCCACACTGACATTTAGAGAGGCAGCCCTCGCCCCAATATCCAGACTCACAAGCTGTAAAGAAAAACAAAGTGCTGTTTTGTTTTTCATCAAAGGTTCACTTACATATTCATACTGGTACAGTAAAAATGTATTTGTAATAATTGTAAACATTATAGTTTTATATATTGAAAGGTAGATCACTAGATGCATTTGGATGATTTCAGCTCTGGAATTGCCAATCTCTACTGAACTAAAAGTAAAAGGTAACTGTTAACCTTAAAACTATACCCCTAAAATTATATCACAAGTTGGAATAGAGCATTTTGAGCTTTGAAAATGTAGCCAGACTAATAATAAACATGTGTGAATGAAATAATACACAACTCCAGATATGTTTTTGATGAAGTAACAACATTATAGCATGGCTTAAAGTTCAAAAGAATCAATTTTGTGTAACCTTAAAATATTATACCAATTTTGTTACTCAGTTTTGCATAAAGAATATACTATTTTCCAAGATAAAAACTCAAAAAACAAGAATTATTTCAACCAGGATTGCAACACTGGGAAAATTTAACCATGTAAAGAATAAGAATCATTTCCCAAAGCACATTTAGTGGGACAAATATCCAGGAGGTACAAATATTAGTACGACACACAAAGTTATAACGTAATAAAATGCTCTTACACGCTGTACAGTCATGTCCTCTCCTTCCAGGGGGGCAGACACAACGTCCAGTTTGGGGGTCACAGCTGACATCAGGAGGACAGGAGCACTGGGACAAGCAGCCTGGTCCATAATAGCCATCGAGGCATTCTAAACACACATGTAAGATTACACAAAATATACTTCCTTTGACTTTTATTATTTTTCAAACAAAGACAATGGGATGACATACTATGCTGACAGTGATTCCCAGTGAAGCCCGGTGTACAGTCACAAGCTCCAGTCACTTTGTTGCAGGACGCTCCATTGTGACAGGAGGGGCACACTGAGGTACACTTCAAACCCCAGAATCCATCAGGGCAGTCTATAGGCCAAACATGAAATCGATTACTTATAATACTAACTGTACTGCATTTCTATTTCTATAATGATGTACAGATAAGTCATTACTTGTTTTGCTATTGTCCACTCTTTGCATCAGAAAGTCCAAAAACTATGAACCACCAGAGAATTTTATGTTTTTATAATATTTGCTCTGCTACCTTCCTGACAGGAGATTCCAGTCTTTCCAGCAGGGCAGATGCACTGTCCACTTTTGGGGTCACATGGTGCTCCTCCACACTTACAGGTCAGATGGCAGTTCTCTCCATAGGACCCATTACTACAAGCTTTAAAAATATAAAACACAAATATCTGCTCTTAACCCAATCACTAAAATATAACTCAGGATTAATAGTTCCTTTCTGTGAAATACATTTTTGCCTATGTATTATTAAGAAAAATACAAACCTCATAGTTGGTTACTTATTGTTATAGCCTTATAGAGGGGGCTCACAATATTGTATACCTTCAGTCAAAGCAATCACCATTGTTAAAAAATGTATTACACTGTACATTAGTGGTCAGTGTTATTTTTTTTTTTTTTTTTATACTATATATATATATGATCTCTCTAAATGGCTATCCTAATGTGACTTTTGATATTATAACATTGTGACACAAAATTGTTAATTCTAATAAAAACAGTAGAGGTTAACTGAATTGGTTGCACAAGGAGTGGGTGATATTCACAATAATTAATCTATAATCTGAGGGGGGGGGGTTTTTTTTGTTTTTTTTACTAAATCCTGGTTTGAAAGATTATGATCTCTGCTATTTTTGCAGCATTTTGAGATTATACTACTATAAATTATTTACCCAATGTTACAATTTTGCCTATCTTCAAAACAACATTGAGTGCAATAATTCATTATATTGTCAACTTAAATGATCTCCTATCTATGTACCTTCTAAAAATGTGGTAGAGAAACAGCCAGTACAGACAACCTTCACAACCCAAGGGCCAAAGCAGCATTGCACAGTGCTACAAAACTTAACAGAAGCAATACTCATCAAATTGTGTTTATTTATTCTATGTCTGCCAGTGGTCTCGGCAGTAGTAACTTAAGTCAATCAGCCCTGTCATGAACCAGTCTGTAACCCAAACCCTCCAAAAACGTGCTCTTTCTGAATTGTGCTTTGACAACCCCAGCGGGCCGAGTCCTGGATGGCTGACACATTATACCCATGTTTATCTAGTCCCCCGCAAAGACGCTACACAGAGCCTCCATTTTAGCCCAAGCTGCTAACCTCCTTCAAGTATCATTTTAGGTCACAGCTCGAGTATGAACTTCGCATCAACTGGCCAGAGTAAATAGCTGGAGCAGTGGGGAACTACATGCACTTTTTACAGGCATCTAATAATACACACAGCACCTGCACTTGAGCAAGCCATTTCAATAGCCATCTGACACCAAATCCATCAATAGCATTATCAACAATAGAGAAATGGATTATGGGTGATTCACATGTCAAATATAAGGTAGGGCCAAACATGGAGAGTTTCACAAAGTCATCAATAACAGTGCGTTTTGTCTATGGCATTATCAAAAAGGGCACACATTCACACCTGGAGAATGCAAACAAGCTGCCAAGTCATGTTGGGACTGCAATGGAGAAACACTGGGGTTGTAATGGAGGTTTTAGCCACAAGAGAGCAGCAAAGAAAGGATTTTGAAATGGTATTTTGCACTCAATCCCCTGAGGTAACAAGAAATACATGAACATTTTGAAGCAGTCCACTGATTCTTTTGTTTTTTTTACTTTTACATACTTTTGTTTTGAGTAACTTTGTATTATTTTGAGGAGAAGAGTAGGTTTGAAAGGCTATGTAAGCAAAAGAGTTCAGACTTTGGAATAAGAAATTTGACTTTTTTGCGGCAATTATTAAAACTATGTCTTGTAGAAGTATGTTTAGTGTAATATTGAAACCTGTTTCTATGAGCGATAAATTTTTTATCATATCTTTCAACCCTAACAGTTGCTTAAATCTCTTAAAAATGACTAAATATCACACAAAATAATGCATCTATATTTTACTTCACTGCAAATTATTATGAGATTTTTTGCTCACCATGTTGACACTTGTCTCCATGGAAACCTGCAGGGCATGTGTGGGTGCACTGTCCAGTCCTGGGGTCACATGACACTCCTCCTGGACACTCACATCTCGTCTCACAGCCAGGGCCAAAGAATCCTGACTCACATTCTAGAGACACACACAGAAATGCTAAAGCCAGACCTTCTATAAAAATGACTTATTACAAGTTTGCATATTTTTTGTTAATAGATGGAAATATTTTAATCTGAAATCTAAGTTTGTGGGAAAAGAAAATTGGCGTATACTGAATAGTAGCTGGCCAGACACCATTAGCTTCCTTAGCCAAGTGAAGTCAACCTGGAGACTTTCCCATCCATGGACTAAATGGATTATAAGCACAGTGGTTGGTTTATTGCAAAGCTTTTTAAAATAGTTTTACATTTTATGAACATGGTGATAGAGGATAATTGTCTTTAATGATTTGGCTCTCCACCTATTAAGTGTGCCGACTTGGAAATCATATGTGGTCACCAAGACTAGACGTAATCTTGTAGGAAATGAAAACACTTGGGTTTGATTACTCATCTCAAGGAGGTTCTAGAAAGTAATGAGCATAATCTTTAACATACACAGTTTAACTTAAAATTGTCTTATATACAGAAAGCCAGCAGGGGGTCAAGCACTCCAATTGCTATCTCCTTGAGTGAATCTGTTTAATCAGGATAAAAATAGCTACTAATGCTGACTAGAGCTGTAGTCCTGGGGTTCTCTGGGCCATGTGTTTATAATGCCATTGATGGAAAGAACTAGACCCATTAAATAAAGACTATGAGAACATACTTGTTGAACTTCTAAATTTTATTATGCCATTTTGGAGACCGTTAGGGGTCCTTGACGGTTCCTGGTCTCCAACGGTTTGAGAAGTGATGGTTTTGTCAATGTTTTGTTGCAACTAATTATTTTTAGGGATGTAACGATATCTGAACCTCTATATTATCAGGATATGCATCTCACAGTACGATATTTATTGTAATATTTTGAAGAGGCTGACATAATTGTACATGGGACACTTTTTTGCTTTTGAAATACCTTGACAAGATTTTAGTGTGAATTATTTCCGTCATAATCCCAAGAATTCAAGTAAAAAACATATTTCTTCATGTTGTCTGCACTGAAATGAGTCATGGGATATGTAGTTCCCTATGTTTATAAGATGTTGCTACTATAAAATAATGGATTTAAGAAAAGGAACTTGTAATTCGATATACTGTGACAGCCCACAGTATTATTGTGAGACTTTTGACGATAAGATATCATGATATTGTTACATCCCTAATTATTTTATTAGGATTATAAAGTAACTTTATACAAAGAACCAGAAAGAAGAAACTATGGAGTAAGTTAGCTGGAATGAAATCAGAAATCTGCCTTTTCACTGATGAATATGCTGTTTACTAGTATTCTCAAATGTTTTGCTATAGAGCTTTTGCCTGTTCCATTGGTTATTTGCTGAGTGAAACCGGAGCACAAACATGATCAGAATGAGTCGGGTGATGAAAGTAAAATAAAGTATAACATTTATACTAACATGTTGAGGTCTCAAAGGGAGGGATTGAATATGCTGGATTACTCAAACATACACAAATAAACTTCAGTCATGTTTTTGATCAGGGAACACAGATCTATGCAGACACGTTGGCATTGGACCTTTAAGTGGGGTAGCAACAAACAATCCACAAAACTATTAATCAATGCATGTTCTGATTCCAGTACCTCTCTCGCAGTGTGCCCCGTGGAATGCAGCCTTACAGACACAGCGCCCAGTTTTGGGGTCACAGCCGCTGGAATATTCTTGGACACAGTCACATTCTCTGGAGCAGCCTGGGCCGTGAGTCCACCTGGGGCATGCTGGGAGCCGGAAGAAAACAAAAGGAGCAAACATTAGACATGAGATTGTGTCACGTGGGTTTTGTTATTTAAAATGCAAAATTATGAACACAAGAGCAGCACTGAGAAGTTGAGTGAAGTGAATCTATAAGAGGACAAAAGCATGACATCATTACATACTTGCACCACTACTTCAATATATTATAGGTTTACTGAGAGACAAGCCCTTCTTCTCAGTTACATCAACATTAGGTTCCTTGTGTCCATAAAAGTAAGGATATATACATTCTGAAAGGTTACAAATGTGTGCTTTAAAGGGCCCATATTATGCTGTTGCCCAGAGTTGTGTTTTGTTTAATGCACTAATCCTGCATATTTAAAATGTGTTCTTCTTTCAAACTGAAAACACTCCACTGTGTTTTTGAATTCCATACACCTTCGTTGGAATCAATTGGATAATTTCAGCCCCAGAACTGCCGAACTCTATTAATCAAACGGTACAAAGTAGATGATGACAAGATGACATTACAAGGTAAAACAGAACATTTTGAGCTATGGACATGTAGAAAAATGAAATAAAATGTTACTCAAATGTGTGAATAAAACAAAACACAACTACCGGTATATTTTTTAATGAGGTAACATTCTACTAACTAACACTAAAGCTCAATTTTGTGTAATAAAGACATTTAAACTAGCCAGGCTGGTGCCACCTAGTGCCTGCACTCAATTTCATTTCTTTCCAGCAACTAGGTCAGGAATCAAAATGCAATTGACGGTTTGCAAAAAGCCAGGAAGTGCAAGTTCGGGCACCAGCCAATCAGCAAAGAGCCATATATTCAGTGTTGTCAACGATTCTCGAGATCGAGGATTTAAAGCCGGAATACAGAGAATGTTTGGTGAATTTCATCAAGGGGGAAAGACGTTATTGTCCTTCTTCCTATGGGATTTGGGAAAAGCTTAATATACCAGTTAACCCTGTTAGCAGCGCATTACATACGTCATGACCAAATAGCAGCGATTGTTTAAATGATAAAAAGTATCCGCCTACCATCAAGCAAACGAAATCTAAGGTTGCAAATATACCACATACAAATACACATAACTGACTGAACCCAGAACTCAGCCTGGACTCCACCAGAACAAAACCAGGACTAGAATGGACCAAAACATGTTCATAAAACTGTGTTCAAACCTCTCTTCCTTGTTGCTTGTTCCTCTCTTTATACTGTATAAGTAACAAAATAGTTCAAGTAGTCTCCAATAATAGGGTACTGAAGTTCAAAGTTTGCCTGATGAGTGCATGTTGTTGTGTCTGCAGGCAAGACACACTGAATGTTCACTGAAGTTACAAGATGCAACATAAGGGTGTGACTACAGCATGCTTTGGCAACCCTGCATTGTTACAGAGTTGATCCAGAAGAGAAAGAGGGTTCAATGACGTCGGCCGCCCAGCCTTTCATTATCTAATCGGTAACTTTAAAGAAAAACACCCTTATTTGCATAGACTGATGTTGTGCTATAAATCTAATGCCAGATTCCCAATTCAGCTTCCATCAAAGCTCGGACCTTTTGCCAAGATTCTCCCCTTCCAGCCCCAAAAGCTATCGCCTCTCCACTCCACCCTGTCCCGCCTGACGCTGTCTTCAAGTTAGGTACAGCTGCAGGCTCTAGTTACACCCTCCCCACCCTCCTAATGTCCAGCGTGCACCACGACTCCGACAGCTGTGAGAAGAAAAACTGATAATACCGCTTGTGTGCATTCCTCCATCTTTTAGTTTGCTTGGAGAGGGGAGCCAGCCGGAGCAGCTCTATAGTCCCCCCTTTATCTTTGGCTCATACACTTTGAACCATGTCACTTCGCAGGCTAAGAAGCAACCGAAAAACTATCGGAGATGTCAATTTGGTGACAGAGGAGCTGAAAAATCTGTATTACAAAAGACTGCTGCCAATTGAAAAACATTATTCGTTCCATCATTTTCATTCGCCCAGCTATGAGGATGCAGATTTTGACAACAAGCCGATGATTCTAGTGATGGGGCAGTACTCGACAGGGAAGACCACTTTTATAAGGTACTTGAATTACATAATTGCAGTAATATTCATGTATATATCTATACATTTTGGTAAAGTTATTATGTGGTTATAGGTATCTTATAGAACAAGACTTTTTAGGAGGCAGAGTTGGTCCAGAGCCAACCACAGATTGCTTCACTGCGCTCATGTATGGAGATGTAGAGGGAATAATACCGGGAAATGCTTTGACGATGGACCCCAAGAAACCATTCCGAAACTTGGATCCTTTTGGGAATACTTTTTTGAACAGGTACCAACAAAAACTCACAGTACTTTTATAGCTGTTAATATTAAAGTAGTTATTTGAATGTTTTGATTGCCATGCACGTTTTCATGCACTATTGTTGTTTTCTTTACAGATTCCAGTGTGTTCAAATGCCAAATCCGGTGCTTGAAAATATCAGTATTATAGACACACCAGGGATATTAACTGCTGCAAGGCGGAGACTAAGTCGAGGTATGTGGGGTTATCAATTGTTATTGTTATGCAAATGTTACTTTTTGTCATGTCTTATTTTGTTGTTGGTTTGCAAGCTTACATAAGACATCTAAATGTTCTTGCTGTGGAGGCTATCACTGGAAATCTTGATCAGTTATTTGTAAACTCATGAGTTTACACCATTGTCCTATAGTGAGTATGAAAGTATACAAACTAGTACTTTGGCTGATTAGGTAGTGTCAACAATGTCATACTAATACGAAATATCATGAGGTTTACAGTATACTGAACAAGCGCCTTTGTAATTATTTTACTACTATAGGTGTCCATGCAATCCCTCAATAAACTGCAAAAGAAAATGTAATTCTGTCAAGTGAATTCTGAATCAATTCTATTGTCAAGATTCAAAATGAAAGCCTTACATTTTCTTTTGCAATGACAACTACTATACATTAATTTTTGACACTTAACAGTAGCTATAAGATGTTGTTGTATCAAATAAAGTTTTGTCAACAAACTTTATTATCATTATTGCAATCTTGAGCAGCCAGAAGCACAGAAAGAGCATGAAGTTGGGAGGATCCGTGCAGTCAGTCACCTCTGGCTATGCTGTGTTTAATAGCACCATTAATCCATGGGTGTAACTGAAGTGGCTCAACATCAACAAGGGCCGCTGGGATATCTTACACATTCCTCCAGGCTTTGAGACAGCGCAGTCTTGCCACAATACACACACGCCACTAATGAAAACCCTGTGTTATCCTTTCTTTCTCCCCCTCCTCCTCCCCCTCTCTGCAGGCTATGACTTTCCGGCGGTGTTGCGTTGGTTCGCCGAGAGAGTAGACCGGATCATCCTGCTGTTTGACGCACACAAGCTGGAGTTCTCGGATGAGCTAACCCGGGCTTTTGGGGCTCTGTGTGGCCATGAGGACAAACTGCGGGTGGTGCTCAACAAGGCAGACACAGTGGATTCCCAGCAGCTGATGAGGGTGTATGGCGCCCTCATGTGGTCGCTGGGGAAAGTGTTCAAAACCCCCGAGATTCTGAAGGTGTACATCGGGTCGTTCTGGTCTGAGCCCAGGCAGAAGTGTGACCACTACGAGCTGATCGAGCTGGAGGAGGAGGATCTGCTCACGGATATAAGGAACCTGCCACGCAATGCTGCCTTAAGGAAGCTGAATGATCTGGTTAAAAGGGCCAGATTAGTGAGGGTAAGCAAGTAGTTACTAAAGATGGTGTCACATTATTTGTAAACAAACTAAATATTGCAATTGAATTAAAGGTTCATTATACAGCTTTTCTGGAGGGGGCCTGTCCCTGTTTGTCTCCATAGATGGTACCGCTTTGTTTCATTATATATACACTTCGCCGTGGTGACAAGCAGGTGCAGGCAAGATCTATGAAAAGGCGATCCAGCTTGCGCTAATGCATGTTTTTCAAGTTATTTTGAGAGATAAAAACCCCTTATATAAGTGAAAAATAAATAAAAAGTTAAACACCATGGCAGGTGGCAGATCCTCCTCCAGAAATGTTACATGATGTACCTTTAAGCATTAGAAATGACTACAGATCCAGAGAACATATTTAAACTCATACTATGATGGCATAAATGGCAAAAAGTTTAATCATATGAATCAGAGTCTAAACTAGTCAGTGAAACATATAACTTCATAAATGTTACTTTGGTACATTGTTTACAAAAAATATATATAGTGCCACATATAGTGTAACTGCTGTAACTGTGCATGAATGTTAATTTGCTCTTCCCACACAGGCTCATGCTCACATTATTGGCCATCTGAAGAAGGAGATGCCCACTATCTTCTGCAAAGAAACCAAAAAGCACAACCTCATCTATGATCTTCCAGAAATCTTCCGCAAGATCCAGCAACAACAGCGTGTGCCAGCGGGAGACTTCCCGGATTGTACCAAAATGCAGGTGAAAATGTATTTCTGGAAACCCCACCTGTTTCTGATCTGCTCACAATAACAAACCATATCTATTTTTATGATTCATAAATAACAAACCAAGTAAAGGTGGGAGATATGACAAGTTCTCAGCCTAGATTGCAATTTGGATTTTATAATGATTTATGTAAAAATAGTTTTAGGAGGTAACTAAAGCAATTTTCTTCTTCTGAGACTTCACACTTCACTGTAATTGGTTAAATCAACTTGTCACTCACAGCTTGACAAAGGCTGAACAATAGAAGATGGTGGAAAAAAGGGCCTGTTTTTAAGCATAGGGCTACATTGAAGGTCCTATATTACGAAAATTGACTCTTGTGAACTTTAAGCCATGTTAGTGCTGCTATTTCTTCAAAAACATACTTGGGGTTGTTTCATTCACACATATTTGAGTAATTCAGCATTATTAGGCTGTCTACATCTCCAAAGTTCAAAATGCTCTATTACACCTTATGAAGTCATGAAGGGGTAGTTTTCAAGTTAGCATCTACCTTTCCCCTTTTGTTCAGTAGAAACTTTCAATTCCAGGGCTTGAAATCATCCAAATTACTCTAGAGAAGGTGTGTATGGAGTTCACTGTTTAATAGAATAACTTAGCCTAAATGTGCAGGGGTTTGTGTTTTCAGACCACAAATACATTTTAATCACTCAGCTCTACAATAAAGTGTGTTTCCCATACTAATTTTTCAAATGATTTTTCTAATTCAGGAGAAACTTCTGGGCCAAGATTTTTCAAAGTTCAAGACCCTCAAACCAAGTCTGATGGCCTCCTTGGACAAACTTCTCACCATCGACATTGCCAAGCTGGTCCCTCTGCTCAAAATACAAGAGCTATCAAAGAAATCCCTCCCAGGTGTGCTAGACGCCGATTTTCTGGGAACGTTTAAGCCAGAGCATTACAGACGAGACCCCTTTAAGGAAATTCCCAGGGAAGAAGAGGGCAGTGACGAAGACTTTGACGAATGGGCGGTAGAGAAGTACAAGCCAAAGTATGACGAGATCTTCTACAATTTGAACCCAAGTGAAGGCAAACTCAGTGGTACTAAAGTTCGAGAGTGGATGACGGGTACCCTGCTACCCAACTCAGTGCTGGCTCAGATCTGGAGGCTCTCGGACGTGGACGGGGACGGGATGTTGGACAATGAGGAGTTTGCAGTAGCGGTTCATCTCATAGAAGGGAAACTGGACGGCTACTACCTGCCCAGAGAGCTCCCTTCGCACCTGGTGCCCCCGTCAAAGAAGATCAGCGCACCAAGCCAGGAGGAGTAACAAATGCTCTTGAAAAAACTGTTCATTTTACATATTTTGTATAGAATTTGTAAATAGTCAATAGATTAACTTGTGTATATACTTTTTTACTTTCAAAAATATACAACAAAGTATAAATACTCCCTTTCTCCCTCAGATTTAGATACAGATGCATTAGGCAAGAATACCTGAGAATGCTCACAAAACTAAAGTTTCATGTGAGCCCAAACTTTTGGTGTATTTTAAATGTGCACTCTGTAACTTTTTTGGTAGGGGGTCTGCTACCTGTTTTTCTACACTGAGATCTTATAATTTTTTCTGGAACGTTACATAATGTTGCATTAAACTATCTATTTATTCAGTTACAGGTGTTACTGTAAAACATGCATTCTTACTGTGAGTGAGGTTGCCTTTCCACAGATCTGTCTTGTAACCTGACCTGGTTGTGTCCCCCTAATTGTATCCATTCAGACAGATACACTTATTACCACAATGTGGAAGATTCCAAAAAAAATTACATCGTCATGGTGACAAGCAGGTGGTGAACCAAAAGTTACAAAATGCACTACTATTATGTTTTTTAGACCTTGCTACTAAAGTGAAATATTATTATTATATATTATTATGTTATGAACTAAGTCTAACTCAATAATTAAAATTGTTGAAGATTAAAACAATACCTTATTCGGAATTAAAGAGCACATACATTTAACGTTGAGTTGGTAGGCTACTGTACTCACGAAGATGACAGAAGCGGCCGTATAAACCAGGAGAGCAGAGACACGCCCCCAGCAGCCGATGACAATGTCCACTGTTAGGGCAATTACACTTTCTATTGCAGTGTCTTCCAAAGTACCCTCTTGGACAGCCTGCAAACAGAAACAACTCTGAGTAAGTCTGGAGAACATTTTTGACTCACACAGATGCTGTTTGTGTAAGTTTTATTGTAAAGTGTACACTTACAAATGTTAAAATTATGTTTTATCAAAATGTAAGTCATATTGTTGATTTACTCAGGCAGAATAAATTGTTGTCTTTTATCATTGTGTTGTGTTTCATTACTATATGAATAACTGGATAAATTGCGATGTAAACATCATGTTCACGTTGGCGGCATCAGTCGCACAATGGACGAGGTCGAAGAGCCAGTAGAACAGAGGCAGCAGTGCACAGGTAAAAACACATTTGTGTCTTGGAAATTATTCTCCCGACGTGAAATATAAAAGAAAATAACAAATATAAAATCGCCTACAGCTTAAATGTCACCGGTGAAAACAACCTGCATAGGCTCATGATGTCTGCACTACTGTCCTATAGTGACCTGCCACATGAGGGGACACGCACACAAACACACACAAACACACAAAAACACAAACACACACCTTCATCATCGTCATTAACCTGAGAACGCGCGGACCACGTTTCCTTCCGTAGTTACTGCGTTTTCTCGCGTACGCTGCGTAAACCGCGCTTCCTCCTGTGCAACTCTAAACTAGAACTAACACCAAGACTAAAACCGGGACTAACCCAGTCAGGACTAAACCAGGACTAAACCAGGTCTAAATCAGGACTAAACCAGGACTAAACCAGAACTAAAACCAGAACTAAAACCAGGTCTAAACCAGGTCTAAACCAGAACTAAAACCAGAACTAACACCAGGACTAAAACCAGGACTAACCCATTCCAGGACTAAACTAGGACTAAAGTAGGACTAAAGCAGGTCTAAACCAGGACTAAAACAAGGACTAAAACCAGTGATCTCATATATAAAGCATTTCTCTATCAATAATATTTTTAATATGGTTAAGGAAAGACTGGACTTTTTATTGTCTTTAAGTAGACAAAAGTTATTATGTTCAGATTTCCTCGTCTTTGCTACTTTACAGCAAACAGTTTCTTATTCATGGAGACTTGGGCTCAACAACCAATTTGGAGAGATTTGTTAAACAATAAATGACTTTATAAAGTCACTTTGTTTTTGTTCTATATCAGTCTTTTGATCTGTCACAATAATGTAATAATGAATTTAAATTAAAATACCTAAAATTGAAGGCTTTTCTCAGCAATTTTTAGATGAGATTAAAAAGAGATTAATTTGATTAATTAATTACAGATCATAATTAATTAATCTCTCAATTTTTTTAATCGCATGACTGCACTAATTAAAACAATAGAAAAATTTAGATTCTCTATGTAATGTTTTGGGCCAAAAGCAAATATTTTAGATTACACATATACTGAAGATGACCAAGCTTGTAATGTAAAAACCTGCTGTGAAAAAGTAAAAAGTGGCCCCATGTAACTATTAAATGACTTTTATTCTAATTCCAACAGAGTATCTTGGACTTTTTGACTGTTTTTTACTTTTCACAATAAGTTTTTTTTACATTACAAGTTTGGTCATCTTCACTTTATGATAGCTTTTGAGCCTCAAATCAAATCCTCTGTGTTTTTATTTTAGATTACACATTGTCATGCACTGTAATTAAATTTGATTACTGACATGTCAAAAATAACACACTAACTATGAATTTCATTAAGAAGGAAAGATGAATAATATCGAAACCTGCTGGAAAATTTTATTATTATTATATTATTTCCACAGATGCCAGCCAGTGGAAAATTTCACTTCACATTTGACATTGATTGTTGCTGTCAGGTTACAAATAAGAGTTCATGTATGGAGCTGTAAAGAATGTATTGACCCACCGTCTTCACAGAACTGGCCCTGAACTCCGGGGGGGGCAGACACACGTCCCGGTCACAGGGTCACACGAGCCTCCATTCTGACAGCGGCACAGACTGTTGCATGCCTTCCCATAAGTCCCCAATGGGCAAGCTGCGAAGACATTAGAATTAAAAGCAATTGCAATAGAAAGACCTACTGACCCTTTAACAATTGTGGTGTTTTGCTATAGCACATTACATCAGTTTAAATCCTCCCAAATTGGAGATGACAAATTATATGTTAAATCGGGGTTGTGCACTGGAGGTCAGGAATCCGTCATCACTTGTGCTTTCCCTCTTTGTCATGTGCCCTGCTGGCTTTTCTAATCTTCTTGGCCTTGTTAGTGAGAACGGCAGGAACCAGCTGGCTGTTTAAGATCTGTTAAAGTGTTAGGCTGCCTCTGCACTCCCTCTACATCACACGTCACTCATGACAGCTTAAAGTTAACAGAAGGAAAATAAAGTAGCAAATCCCATGCGGTTTTGTAGTATTTTTCTTTATGTTTTTATAACAAATACAATAGATAGCAGTTCTGTAAAATGATATTGGCAATAATGTTAGCAACAGGGCTGTACAGCATATATTTAAAAAGTAGGATTCTCTACAGTGGTATTAATATTTGAGAGAAGACTGAAATATGAACTGACGAAGTAATACAAAACTATCAGAAAGTTTATACATCAGTTTCTTGTAGAGATCTAAACTGCAGCTACAAAAATAAATCTATAAAAATATATTTTGTTCTTTGCAGAGGACGTTCTATTATCTAGATACTTGCAACTTTTCTCATTTAATTACTGGTCCAGCTCATATTGCGATTTCAATCCGATTGCAATATGTTGTGCAGCTCTATTTAACAGTGTTTATAGTTGTTTATGGTTTTCACATTTTAATAAATACTTAATGTAATGATATCCAAGTCTCACGATACAATATCGTCACGGTATAAACCTCACGGTACGATATTTATTGCAATATCGTAGGAAAGCTCACGATATGATGGGGAGGCTCATGATTAGGGATGTAACAATATTCAAATCTCTCAGCCCGATATTTTCACGATATCTCAATACGATATTTATTGTGATATTTTGTGGAGGCTAACAAAACTGTTAATATACTACTTTTTCCTCTTAAAATGCCTTGACAAGACTTAATCCAAAGAACTAAGACTTAAAAGTGCTTAGAACTGTTATTTCTTCTTGTAGTCTACACTGAAATGGAGCAAAGGATCATGGTCTATGTAGTTCCCTCTGTCTTTTTTTAGCTATTGCTGCACCATAACTCTTAATTTAAGCAAAGAGACTTATAATTCGATATATTGTGATGGTTCACGATATTATTGTGAGAACTTTGACAATACGATGTCTTGATATTTTGCTTATTGTTACATCCATAGTCTTTTGTACCATTCATCTAATGCCTTTACTTAATAGACATCAGCGTTGAGAATTTGTTTTTGTAGGTTTTGTCATTTTTGCCAAGGAAACAACAACACCACTTTGAGCAAGACTTGAATCAGTTACTCTCTTGTTGGTGAGTAAACAACCCACTACACCACTTAATGCACATTCCATTTATGTAGAGATACAATAAATAGCCTGTACTTGTACTTGTAAGGGGTGTCAAAGTCCAAAGACACATTATGTACATTAGGTCCATTCACACGTGACGCAAAACGCAACTTTATACCACTGTACAGAGGTAACATGAAACAGAATGCATACAGGATATCCATGCTTTTGTTTATATATCCTGTCTCTACTATGAAATGTAATAAAGTAGACAAACAACATTACTGCACGCCACCAAATATCATCTGAAATTCGATGTGTATTTGGGACATTCTACCTACATTCTCACCTACAACTACGATGACTGCTCCCTAGTTCAAGCACCCCCTTCAGGCCATGCATCTCAACAGTACCACCTTACCACTACTATAGCCTTTATTTGGGTGACATATTGCCTCATCCCACATGGCTCTTTTTACTATGATTACGAGCCAGGGCAGACACATAGATCACAGCAGTGTAAGGGAACAATGGGTAGACTTGCTTTGTGGACAGTGGACATCCTTGGCCAGGGGCTCTACACATGCTTGGGGTTCTGGCCGGGCTCCATCAGAAGACAGATTGGTTCCCCTGATGCTACGGGCTGGGTGGACCATAAACAAGGCAGACGCGCACAGGGAAGGCTGACAGGCTTTGATACATGGCCCCAGGATGGATGCACGCATGTGGGGAGCTATCTCATCACAGACCGGACCACATTGCTGGAGGGATCTGGGAGAATATGTGCCCAGTGGGAAAAACCTGAGTACCTTGCTGTATGCATGAGGGCCCTGGGTTAATATATATTACAGGGATGGGCCCAAACATAATTCAGTCTGACTTGTTTAAATCTACAAGGAAAGTTAGAACTATGACAAATTATAGTCATGAGAAATGTGTAATTTTACTCCTTTATATTGTAATATGACCAGGGCTATGAAAGAATTCTACTAACAGATACATGTAATGCAGTTTATTGTCCTAGTCTGACACTAAATGATTCTAAAACTAGTATGGGGACAAGATACTTATTTGAACATGAAGTAAAAATAGGACAAAACTGGACTTGACCAATATCAGAACTAAGACTACATAGTAATATCAAAGAAATATAAAATATTTTTGTCTTGAAATGTCTGACAATACAACAACCTCCACAAGACTGCATGAAAAGAAAGAAACATTTTTGATAAGAAAGGAGTAGTTACTGCTTAACACAAGAGGTGGCAGTATAGCACAAAATCTGGTAACATGATTTAGTTACTCTGGGTCTCTGTTAACAGCACCAAGAGTAGCCAGGCCCAAAACTGTATGCAAAAGGTTCTGAATTGTCTAACAGTACTAAATATATAAATACATACATTAAAATAGAGTAAGTAGATTTTGTATTTAAAATGGTATAAACATGACCTATCTTTGTCCCATACGAGGTAAACATGTTCAAATCAATCAAATATTGATTTTAGTAAACACAAAAGTGGATTTTCATAATTACAAACATATTCTACACGATGGTCAGGTTGTTAATGTTTTGGTTTGGAACTGATTATCCAAACTTAAGGCAGAATTATCCTCATGTGAGTCTCATTTGGTTGCCAGTCCCTCTGCCTCGAATTGGTCATACTTACTTTGATTACAGATGCTCCCGGTCCAGCCAGGAGAGCAGTCACATCGATCTTTGTTCTCACTGCATTCTCCATTCAGACAATCTTCACAGCTCAGAGTGCAGTCATCCCCAAACGAGCCCTCGAGACAAACTGAAAACAAGTACACACACATAAACTTTAATTTAGCTTACTATTATGGCTGCAGTAAATATATGTTACAGTCAAGCAATGAAACAGAAATATACGTTTTTCTAAGTACTAAAACATGACTGCAGAAGTAAAACCAGGACTACAGGTCTGAACAGATCTAAATCAAGACTAGTCCAAACTTTAAAGGTGAACTATATATAACTTTTCCTGTGGGGGTCTGCAACTTGCTCGTCTTCAGGAAGATCTATTCTTTTACCTGGAAAGCTCCACAGTATTACTTTTATTTCAGGTTTTGTTTTGTTTGTCTGAAAGACATGTATTAGTATTGTGAGTGGGATTGCCTTTCCACAGATCTGACCTGTAATTTACACTGCGCAATATTCTAGGCAGTGCAATAACATCTCCAGGAAGACGAGAAGGTGACGTAGTGTAACTTTAAAGCAGAGCAAGCAAGCCTGATTCTTATGACCACTAAATAAATTCAGTATTGTTTGAGAATTTCTGGTCTATACCTATTTGGCTGTTGAGTCTCAGTTCCCCGCGTCGTTCTCGTTGGGCTTCTCTCTCCTCCTCTTCATCGCTGTAGTCGCTCTGGTCATTGCTGTATCCAGTGTGTAAAGCCGCAGTGTAATGCAGGAGCCGGGGAGGATTTCGAAACAGTAGGTCTGGTAGTGCTGGCACCTGGCCCTCATCCTCCTCTTCATCCTCTTCTTCTTCATCCAGTTCTGCATAAAGAGCTAAAACCAAAAGAGATAGTCCTGAATATAGATGAAGTAAAATCCACACACTTTTGAAGGTGCTGTACCTTATTTTTAGTCTTACAGTCAAACCTGGTTTATTTTAAACAGCAGTGGTGCAAAGTCATTCCTCTCTTTAATAACACTTGCTTAGCATCTTGAATATTAAGTACAATAAGCAGAGTTTGGTCATCATCTTGTCTTATTTTGAGCCTAAGAGCTGCTTTTACCATTTATTATCTGCAAAAACTTTACTTTATAATGTTTAAAAAAAAGCAGGTACAGCCCCTTTAACTTGTTTTTTTCTTGGGGAGCATTTTGTGCAACCGCTACTGTCATATCTGAATGGATTTACAAAAATAAAATAAAATTAAAATTAAATTATTAAAAATTAAAATGGCCTACGCAGCGCCTTAATTAAGTGTACACAGTTGTGACTTAAAATTGTTATAAACTAAAATCCTGGTTTAAAAACATACAAATCTAATCATGATTGCAACACTTGTCAGAAAGGTTGCAAATAAATTTTTAACTTTTTTATTTTTAAATTATTGCATTCACAGGATACTAATTGTTCTTCACACTGGTTTCCTACAGTAAACCCACAGATGCAGGAGTGCTGGTCCTGGTCCAAGCGGAAGCCTTGTCGACAGAAGCACTCGTACGTGCCCAGAGTGTTGACACAGTAATGTTCACATCCTGAGGTCTCTGTCAGACACTCATCAACATCTGCAAAAACAAATGCATACATTTACAGTGCGTATGACTACTTAATTTTCTACCTGTTGTAAATATAAATTATATGTTTACACATATCAAGAAGCAAATAGTGAAGAAAAGTTGAAAATTACAGGAAGTGACATCACACAAGGGAGAATTCAGCAGAATTGACATGCAATAATCAGTTTTTTTCTGTTACTTTCAACAAAATAAAGGTGTTTTCTTGTGTTTTTATTAATCAAATATAATTTCTGTGTACTCCCTAGTGTGATTTCTAACCAGGAAGTCAAAATTTAAACCTAAAAAAATGGCTAAATTGAGAAAAGACAGGTATGATGATTAACTGTGTTTTGGTGAAATGTGTTGTCCAACCTATCATAAACACTGTAACTGCAGCCATCATTTGACTTTTAATATAAACAAAAGTGTATTACACATTATATTATTCATAGTAATGTAACTTCATAATTACTATAATAGTAATGACTTTACATTGGTCTTTGAGAAACCTAAAGACTACTGTAGCCAAAGCTGAATAGGACTGGTGTAAATGTGCACTGTCACTTAATCATATGACATTAATACAGAATAGTACAGAAAGTGTCTTGCTCCATGGCACAACAATATAATGCACTGAGCTCTGAGATCAGAGCTAGGAGTGAGACACTAAATATATGGTTATGAGACACTTAGACTTAGATTAACTATGGATCCACAAGAAAATTATTATTATTTATATTAATCAAATCTACCAAGGTCACTGTGGTCCCAAAATATATAAAAAAGAACTAAGAAACAACCCAATTTAACTTTCTTTTTTCACTTTTCTTTTGCATAAAACAAAGGCTCCATTTAACAGGTTTGGAAGAGCCACAATGAACATATAAGCTTGAGAACATAGTATAGTACAGATAATTACACAACTATTTAACTGCAAATGAATTCTTTGGATGTAACCACAGTAGTTCTTTCCTAATATACTAGTGGTTCTCATGAGGATTCCTGTTTTTGCTGAACTTAAAAATACCTTGAAAAGCCTCATTTCAGAGCAATCAGGGCTCTGGGCATTTGTTTCACCAGTAACTGCACCACAACACAGTCCACAGTCACCACAGTTATCCTGGTAATAATCCCAAAGGCCTACCATCGCAGCCACAGCCATCTGGGTTCAGAGTGTGTCCCGCTCGGCAGCTGCATTCATAACCACCGGGGTAGTTCCTACAGAAGTGACTGCAACAGGCCTGCCCGCTGGAGCACTCGTCACTGTCTGAGGAGCAAAATAGAAAACAGGTTTCATGAAATAACATAACAGATTTGGAAATAGCATGCAAAATTTGCCAAATGTTGATTGCTGATTAACATATTGATATATTTTTCAGAGTCTCAAATGTGATGATGTCATACTCCCAGATGGAAAGCAAGAGACAGTTTTTCATACTGATTACATTGAACTTCTGTTGCCATGAATTATCCATAAAATAAATTCACAAATATTAATTTCTATTAGTGACTAGACGGTAGAATTTGCTAGAGGCAAATTCTATAGGCCTGTCACGATATTTTTTAGCTATGATATATTGGTACAAAGGAATACCACAGTAAACCATAATATTAAAACTACTTTATGCCATTGAAAATACACTGAATACACTAAAAATGGCAGAAAACTCTCCACTATGCACACAATAAATATTTCACCCCACTATATTCTTCCAGTTTTCATATATTAAACTATAAGTTGATAGAGTAATTATCGTGACAGGCCTACTGGTGTTAAAGAAATGTTATTGGTCTATTGTGATGTCATCTGAAACCCAGCAATCTACACTTTTTTCTGTGATTATCATAGCTAATAAAAACATATATGGCAGCCATTACTCCCACTGTTTATGTCACCAAGAGAAAAGAGCAGGCCAATCATTTTTGGGACTCATTATTTATCGTGTATATTATTTCTTTGCAATAGTAGGGAGATTTTTGCCATTTTTCTGTATTGTGATAAGATTTAAGCGTAGAAGGTAGAATAAATTTGTCAGGCTGGTGCCACCTAGTGCCTCCACTCAATTTCATTTCTCTCCAGTGACTAGGTCAGGAATCCATGCAGCAGCCAATCAGTGAAGAAGCATACTTCTGTGTTGGCAACAATTCCAGAGATCGAGGATTTAAAGCCAGAACAAAGACAATGTTTGGTGAATTTTATCAAGGGGAAAGACGTTGCTGCCCTTCTTCCTACGGGATTTGCGAAAAGCTTAATATACCGGCACATTACATATGTCACAACCAAATAGCAGCAATTTATATATATATACTTTTTTTTTTTAAGTAATAAAAAAAACAGCTGATGAATCAGGCTAAGAATAAAGACCTTATTAACTAATTACTGGTTCATTTGCCATTATTGCAGATTGACTTTTAATGATACTGTCTATTTAAAAATTGGTTTACTGGGTTTATCCTACTTTGCATCAGTGGTTTAAAGTAGTTTCAATATTATCATTTATTGTTAAATTTCACTGTAGCAATATATCGTGCTTCAAAATTTGTTATCATGACAGGCCTACACCTAAAAGAAGCCTATCACTGGTCACTAGTTATTGCTGATTTGTCTTATTCTGCCAAGTTATACCATTAACCATTAACAGTCTACAGATACCAGTCACTTAAAGGTCTTATATTACACAAAATGGATTCTTTTGAGCTTTAAGTTGTGTTATAATCTTGTTACCTTATCAAAAACATACTTACAGTTGTGTTTTGTTTCATTCACACATATTTGAGCAATCCTTTATTACTAGTCTGTCTATATCTCCGAAGCTCAAAATGCTTCGTTCTACCTTGTGATGTCGTGAAGCGGTAGTTGTCAAGTTAACAGCTACTTTTTACATTTGGGTCAGTAGAGATTGGCAATTCCAGGGCTCAGAAAATAGCATAATAAGGTCCCTTTAAAATACATGTTTGGCAAGTGATAGTAGGTTTTACCAATGCAAGTCTTGAGGTCCTCTGCGAGCTGGAAGCCTTGGTTGCAGGAGCAGTGGGGCCCATTGGTGGTGTGTTCACAGTGATGAGAACAACCGCCATTGTTCTTCTCACAGCTGTTTATAATCTCCATCTCAATGCCTGGAGAGGAAGGTAGGATTTATCTATTAAGGATCATATGCGGAACAAAATGTTACTCAATATATTAGTCAAATTTGTTTTTATCATATTGTGCAAACTGGTGATCTATTATTTTTCTTCCTTTCCAGTCGTTTGCATAGTTTTTGGAATAGTCTGTAGTTTATGCTGCATTTTGAAGTTTTTGGCAGAATTTCTGGCACGTTATGATTTATCAAAAGTCAAATTGATAAAAGCTTTCTTCTAACAACGGAAAATCTACATCATATTTTATTACACTACTGGAATAATCATTCATTTTTATTGTTTCTTGGATTAATATTGTTTATAATTGAGATGCATTAAGGTCTTTTCACTTTGCCACGTCATTTTTCAAAAGCTACTCAATCTTACGTTAGTATTTGAGCCAATTATCTGCAGACACAGTAGCAGTTTAGCAGACCTTCCCATCATAAATTACTTTTTGAATCAAACAACAAAAACATTTAATAACTCTTTCCATATAAACTCTCCATCAGGTCTTTACTCACGATAACATTGTTTCCCGTCAGCTCCGAGCTCAAAGCCAGGGTTGCACATGCAGCTGAAGGAGCCCGGTATATTCACGCAGCCATGAGAGCATTTCGCCCGGCCGGAGGTGCACTCGTCCACATCTGCAGGACAGGCAAAAGCAAAGACGCATGTGGGGTCAATACACGAGTAAACTCCCTTAATAGTGTTTAGAGGATTCAGATTATACAGTAGACAACAGCTAAATATGCAAGACACATGGATATCACACATGGAATTTACCTGTGTTTGGGTTCGGTTTCATTAAATAAGAAAAATAATAAAATGAGTGAAGGTAAAAAGTTAAAGAACACATATTTTGCATTAATAATATTAACAAACGACATTTCAAAGCCTCAGTGGTCAATATATTCTGATTTGGTGCAGCTTGCCCTCTATTGGTAGCAGAGATAAGTACTACAGAGAAAGCATTTTAACTAAATAATAAGGAACGTGTCTGGACATGTGAGCACGCAGGAGCCAGATCTGATGGCATGAATAGTTTAAATTAGTGTGGCGATGGTTTACGGACTTAAACACAGCACAGAGCTTCTATCTATGACGTCACAGTCCCAGGAAATTTCAACTGAGTGTTTTGTGAGGCTCAGAGACAAAGGACTGTCTATGAAGGAGCAGCATGAATGATGCAGAATACAAGTCTGGATATGTTTTAAATGAGGTAACAATATACATATGTGTATTTTTGGCTAATAAAAAGGCTGAGCAAATATTCAATTACTGCTTCAATTTACAAAACCTGGAGCACAGTCTTAGCTACATCAACTTTTAAAATATAAAACAAAACAAAACAAAAAACATTTATATAATATAATATATAATATAATATAATAATATAAAAACTATTTCTTAGTACATGAAAAATATGAAATTGTTATAAATCACTATGATTCATAATCGTACCTAAATAATTGTAATTTTCTGTGATTTTCTGCATAATTAAGTTGTGTAAAATACGGACATTGTTTTACCATAGATCATAAGTAGGTTTGCATTGCTTTTAATTCTATTGAACTTGGAATATTTGGTAGGAAACATGAAACAAATGTCCAACAATGCTTGAAAACTCTTTCCAAACAGGAAAGCTTTGTCAGCTCTCAGATTTCTTTGCACTGAAGCATGGGAAGCTGGTGGGATGAAGTCTTTCCAAAATCAACCATCAGAATTAATAGAATTATCTTTATGTTTGGCTCACATTTTAAAGGGAGGTAAGCAAAGAAGGTAGTGGAGACAGGAGAAGGAAATATTTTTATACACTGTAAAAAAAACAGTCTGGACACATTCTATTCTCACCATTAGACATGAGGTGTTTTGGATGTTTAAAGCCAATACCGATATCTGATATTTGGCTTACTGTTGTGGATGATAACGGATATTTGCAGATGCAAATATTTCGTTTTTTAAAATCCATAACAAGAACCACAGATTTTTCTTATGTTCAAGTAAAGATCAAACTAACTTTTCGTTTTTGTATAAATAATAACAAAGTGTATTTACCTTGGATATAAAGGAATTAGTTGTGATGATGATTTAAAATGCCATATAACACTTTTCTATTTCTATTTTTATTCACTAATCTTTTCAGAAAGACACATTCAATGCACAAAGGACAAATTGAGAATGACATATGGGCACACAGAAGCCAGTAACCTGGCTCACGGCAGATTGATAAGCGCATCACTCCAAACTGAGTTCTACAAATTATCCATCTGGAACGGCTCTCACTGAAAGCGTTTAGAAAAAGGAGGGACTTGCAGCAAAATGTCTCAAGCTCCCTGAGTGAACCACCCCAAAGTGGCCACCCCCCAGTTTCTTTTAAGCCAGTCACGCCATACCTGTCAAAATGATGTATCCAACTTGCACCAGGTAAAACCAAAACAGGTGTCATACTGGAGAGGGAAGCTGCCGATAAACAAATGTTGCTGTTTGTGCAATACAAATTTGCACATTAAGGGCATTATAAGCACCATCACAGTCCGCCTGTACCACCATGTTTGTTTTGCTATGTGTAGGCCATATATTGTATATATAATATATATAATGTGTTTCAAGAATCCATCTTGAGCACCTCAAGATGGATTCTTGAAAGTTTGTGAACTCATAAATATCGCGAGAATCCATCTTGCTGAGCTTGGTTAATATATGGGGGAAGCGCCAAAAAATATCAATATTGAATGGTGGTATTGAATACTGACATTGGCCGATACCGATATCAGAAAGAACACAATCATTATCAGCTCATATCAATACTGACACCAATATATCGCCCATCCCTTCTCACCATTGCAGTTCTTGCCATCTGCGGCCAGGGTGAAGCCAAGTCTGCAGCTGCACTCTATCCGCCCCTCATCCGAGTGGCAGGTTTGGGCACAGCCTCCGTTCCTCTCTGAGCAGGGGTCCCTCACTAGCACACACAAATGCAAACTCATGTTTAGCTCCAAAGGAAATTGTTTAAACTTTGTGCTGAGTTGTTGGAGGGTCACTTAACAGCAGCTTTTCACTGCCTGCCAAATAAGGGTGTTTTTCAGCTTTGGCAGGTAACTCAAGTACGCTGCTGGGATTTTTGCATATAAATTTGAACAGTGGATTTTAATGTTTGGAATGGCAGCTACTGTGAACTTGCTCAATATGATACTAAGAAAACATTTAAACAGTCTTTATTATTTTTATTCTACCTCACGAGTTGCTGCATAAAAGTTTCTTTGAATATGGATTTGGAAAAGGTTTTGAGTCAAATGTTTCACAGTATGGCATTAAATACATCTATAGTATATGTCTATATTTATTTTATTAATTGTGTGTTTATTGCTCAAAAATTGCTTGGAAAACTAGAAATCTTACCACATGCTTATTTTAGAGGAGATACATTTAAAGCCACCAGAAAAGTTACACTGTGGTCCTTTAATCTACGTAGCAAAAAAACGCTTACATCAAAAAGTAAGCAATGTAACAAGTGACAAATAAGAGTTAGATACCAAAACTTAAATGCAAGTTTTGAGGTTGACAATAGCCTACTTTATCTATTCCAATATTTATGGTCAAATATAATCATCCCTGTTTCAAACCATGTCTCTATTTTTACGTCAGATGCCCCACCCGTCCATCTTCATTTTATTTCTAGCCTTGATAGTAGAAACAAAAAGTATTCTTGCTTATTGTGAGCATGTGAGACCGAACAGCCAAATACAGTTACACACAATCACCTCATCATCTCTCAAATGTCCAGCACTCAGCACTGCCGCAGCCACATTGTAATATCTTCATCCTCTGCTTGACAAATGACAGGCTCGGCTCTTAGATTCTGAAAACATCTGTTCACTTACATTCACAGTGGCGCCCATCTCTTTTCAGCTGGTAGTTCTTTCGGCACTCGCACTTGTACTGATTATTCCCCAAGTCCACGCACTTGTGTTCACAGCCGCCATTCAAGACGGAGCAGGAATTCAGTGCTAAAAACAAAAATACAGACAGTTAAGAAGCATGTATATGTCTGCGAAATTCCTGTTATTATGTGTCAATAGCATAGACTGTATACATTCTCTAAATAGACAGAGTTAACGCACTTGCAGTTGCTTTCCAAATAGGAAGTTAGCATGGGGTTTCTGGCTCCTTCTGACCCTCACTCCCATTGACCTAATTGGAATATTGTCACGCCTTTCACTGTAACTGCTGCAGTGAGTCTTGGCATTTTGGTCTTAAAATGATTCTACCCTTTTTAATAAATTCCTATTCTTAATAAAGATCTTGGCTTTAAATTCACCACTATAACCGCTAGAATCTTGAATGGATTCGAACGCTATTTGGCAATCCCTTAATCCACTTCTTTATACAGTCAATATTACCCTACAAAGGCAAAAGACCTTAACTCGCCAAAGTATGAAACTGACAAAAATGACTTCAAAGGTTCAGTTTTGTCCAGACAAAAGTATAATAGGCAGGACTCCCAAAATTTGACGACTAGTTGCTATAATGAAGAAATATTTGTATGCGAAAAATATTGAGCTCAATATTGACCTTGGGCCCTTATTTGGCAGTTCCTCTCCTCTGCCTTTGTATCTTGGGCCAAAAATAAGGAGTCAAGCAAAGGCAAAAGGCAGTAACTGACATTATCATTATTTGCTTGATTTTCACCAGACTTCCATCCATTATAAGAACACCTCACCAAGGACAAGTCATCGTGGTGTTTGTTTGAAATGATATAGAAGAGCTTCGTATTTCCTATTTGCACTAATGTAAACACTTACACAGTTAAACAGTTTTACAGACAAGTTGCTTTGCAGTATGAATAAACACACCAAATACTTTCACATAATAATAACTGAATACAAAGGAGCATTTATTTAATGTTTTAAGACCCTGTGCCAATGTCGCAACAAAAAGGAGGCGAGAGGTTGGATTTTAAAATAAAATATATTTATTAACTAAATCACAAACAAAACATACACTGTTACTGCCTTTTGCCTTTGCAAGACTCTTTACTTTTGGCACATGAAACAAAGCCAGAGTACAGGAACTGACAAATAAGGGTGAAAGCTTAATTTTAGCTCAACATTTTTCACAATATTTATTCACATGATAAAGGAGGTCTCAAATCTGCCCAAAATGACATGAACTCATTTTTGACAAAAAATTATGTTACGGCATTCTGCTTTTGTAGGGCAGAAAAGTTAACATGTATAAAGTAGTGACTTTCAAAGAATGTCACTTTTTCATATTGAACTAAAAGACTTAAGAAATTCAAAAGGTCCCATTTAGTCATGATGTTCTCAACGTTAGATCTGATTCAGCCTTGTAATTGTTTAAGTTCTGATTGTATGTCACCATGTAGATGCTATTGTTTTGCCTGGGATGTTCCACAGTACGGCATTAAGTCATACTGAGACCCCAATCACAAAGATGTTTTTTCAAGTTATAAAAAGATGAAATACAAAGTAATAAAAAAGATATGTACCTCCAACAGAAAAGTTACATGCTGCACCTTTAACAAAGCAGTATTGTTAGGGATGACATTTAGCGTAGTTTTCAATGACATTTTCACATACTGCGCTGTCTAATTTAATATAACCTAACCAGAAAGAAAATAGCTATTTAATTACAAGATTAATAACAACCAATACAATTTGATATGTTGGCAATATAAAGTGGTTTTCACACCTTAAATCTATATGGCAGCTTTGCAGTTGTGGAAAGCTGGAAAATTGACATTGATATAACAAGCCGGGCCCAGTGGTACGCCTGGTAAGTTTGTAATGAGCTTTCCATTCCATTAGTCCTGTGATTTAATGATGTGCCAAATATGGATATCAGCGGTGTGCCTTGTGGGTGCTCTAAACGCAGACACAAGGACACAGACAGGCTGTAAAAGTGAGAGACCGGCAGCTTTCAGCGGTAATGACCAAAACAGACCCAATTAGCTGCCATGCTACCTGACGCTATATGGAGAAGACTGGGTAAGAAGAATGCATGCTCAAATATGACAAAGATACTTAAAATGGAGAGAGAGGATGAATGCTAGAGGATGAATGTTATAGTAGATGTTGTAGGGACTAAAAGGACACAGACATCTATTGTTTCCCTAGTTTAAATCACCTTAATAAATCCCTCCTGTAAGGTCTCCTGTGTTATCGCACTCATTCATACGCTGTTGTTGTACTTTTATAAGTTGTCAAGAGCCAGGGGTCAGCTTGTAAAACCACGGGGGTGACACTGCTAGTAGGAAAAGAAAATAGCTGTAAACACAACATTACTAGTGTTTGAATAGTAAATAAAAATTGGGACAACCCAGACTAGACAAAAATATGCAGTGCAGCAAGCATTATAAATGACTGTGCTACATGGAATGTTCTATCAGTGCTTAATGTATTTGCATAATGTGGTTTATACTTCTATTTTCTTTGTTTCACAGTGGGGACATTCCAATGTTGCAATGACCAAGTACAAGAACAATAGCTGGAAAAAGATAACCAACATATATATCAATATCACCATGTATATCGGCCTGTATTAATTAGTTTCAGCCTTGTGTTTTAAGCAACTTTTTGTTTTAAATGTTTTCTTTTAAATTGTTAATAACTATCCAAATCAAAATTTTATTTATTACACTTTATTTCTATAGCACATTTTACAAACAAAGCAATTTTCCAAAGTGCTCCACAGAGATCATAAAATGAAGACAACTAAAAAGGTCAATTGCTAAAGTTTGGTCATACCAGTCCTAAAACAATAGAAAACAGTTAAATCAAAATAAAAGCAAAACCATAAAAAGCAGTGAATGAGTAAAATAAATCAAATAAATAAAAGACACAGAGGACCAAACAACACATGTGGTGTTAAAAGCCAGAGAATAAAAGTGGGTCTTGAGGTGAGACTTAAAATAGATTGTTCCAGAGTTTGGAGCAGGTCACAGAGAAGACCCTGTCCCCCCTGGTTTTAAGTCTTCTTAGGCACCATGAGCTGGAGCTGGGCCTTGGACCTCAAAATGCATGTGGTGTGTAAATTTGGATGAGGTCCGAAATGTACTGTGGGGCCAGTCCATTCAAAGCTTTAGAAACAAACAATAAAATCTTAAAATCAACTCTAAAACGAACTGGGACCAGTGCAACAATGCTAAAATCGGGGTAATGTGCTCATGTTTTTGACAACAGTCCTAAATTGCCATCATCCTTAAACTCATGGATAGGCAACATTTTGAGAACTTTTTTACCAGTGAGGTATTAATAACTGCTTTTTACTATTCAAAACACATAATATTTAGTTTTAAGTTGTTAATCACTATGGCAATAGTCCTAAAGTTGTTAATTACTATGGTAAAAGTCCTAAATTGCCCTCATCTTGAAACTCATGGATATTATCTGTACACAACTGTATGGGATTGGGCCAGATTTATACAATATACCAACATAACACATTTCAGAACATGCAGATGGGCAACACAAATCTCCTTGTATCAATGCAGTACTCACCAATACAAGTGCGTCCATCAGTGTGCATGCGGAAGCCCTCACTGCACTCGCAGTGGTAAGAGCCGGGGGTGTTGACACAGGTCTGCTGGCATCCTCCATTCATCTCCTCGCATTCGTCCACATCTACAGAAACAAACACCCATGACCTCTATTACACCAAAGAATTCCAGTAAAATCTACAAGAACCATGAGCGGCAAACATCAAAGTGACAACTAGGAATGTCAATTAGTGTACGGAGCAAGCACACTTCAGCAGAAAGACCAGTAAATGCTGGAATAGGCTTTGTCTTAGCAATGGAGCAATACACTGGCAGCTGTGGGAATTTTTTACTATATTCACATACAAACATTTACAGTGTTCTGTTTAATGCTACCATCAATTTTTATAGCTGCCTAATTCTTTTCACTGAGCCAAAACAGAACCGCATTGTTCATAATAACCGTGCAATTAGTAGTAAATATGCCATATGCTATGTCTTTTTCTGTTGCCCATCTTGTTTTGGAAAGAGCAAAGTCAATCCAACTGTTTGTGATTTAAAGGAGCAGATTTAAGAAGTGGCTTCTAAAACAAAGTTCAGTCACAGACAAGTTGGAAATATGTATGTGTACAGACCCATAAGGGTAGCATGATGATGTTCAGTACTTTGATGTAAAACTAGATTGAACTAGTTCACACTTAAATTAAAGGTGTACTGTGTAACTTTTCTAGTGGAGTATAAAAGCAGGGGTGTTTTGTCTTCCTTGCAGTATCAAATTCAGTACTGTGTCTTTTCAGATACTGATGAGATGTTAGGGATGTGGCAACAATGGCAATTATAATCGTAGGAACTAAAAAAAATTGTAACATTAAAAGCCAAAGTTGGTCATTTCACTTCCACCTATTGTAAACCTAACCTTTTATTTGGTTGTGTGGTGAAACTGGCACATCAAGTAGGAGGCAGACTTAACAATAAAAATGTGTCTTAGCAGACAAAAACGTATTAAAACAGACCTCAGTTGTAAATGTGAAATAACTTAGTCACAAATAAACCGTTCAAACTAATTAAGAGAATAAGTAATGTAAAGTAAATGCAATGCATCAACCATGTTTACCGAACTACACAAACATCATCCCAAATTCATTAAACCACACTACCTTTTATACAGTCCTCGGCAGGAAGGACCTGCCCCCAGGTAAGTACCATTTCCTTCAACAGATAATGATTCAGATTCAACTGTAGCAATACACCAAAATCTAGCTGGTTACTTTATGAAGGCCGAAGTCCCTTTAAACAGTGTGTAAAATAAGCACAAAAATACATAAACCAAATACACAAACAATGAAACAAAAAAGGAACTCCAACTAATTCTCCCCTCCACATGGTCTGGCCCACAGCCTCCCCCAGAGGTTTTAAAAATGGCTGACCTGGTACATGCCCCCTCTTTAGTCTCCAGACCATGTGGAAGAACAAGGCAAGTTTGTGAATGTGTAACTGAAATTAATTAACAAATAAAGTATATTTACATTAACAATGCATGTGTGATAATTAAATAAATAAACTGGGTTGTATAACAAATAGTTCAGTTGGATATGGTAACTTAACAAAAGTGCCAAATTAAACAAATTAATGTGAGTTTAAAGGAATAAAGGGTCACTTTCCCACATGATGTTTATTTCAAATTACCTCTACTTTCACATTCAGGGAGTTTCTTATCTTTTAGGGTGACTGCAAATACTTTTTATGTTCCTTCTCACAATGATTGTAAAATTAGCAGACCAGTGATGTCACATTTTAATCAGGTATCTGCAACCACTCTCTTTTGAAAGACTGGACCTGTACACTGTCAGGAGGAGGCAGAGAAGGTCAAACATAATCCTTCTATTGTTATCGTGACTTAATGGCTCTCATGAGGATGAAGTTTTTAAGGTTGGGATAACATTAGCTGAGACCTTGTAAGTGCAAAGTATAATCAATGATCTTTCATTTAGAGGCATATGGGAATGATTGGTGCAACAAGGAGCATCACTTTAACTGGGAAGACAATTATAGAGTTACTTTCTTCAATTTCTATTTAAAGCATCTTATAACTTTCAGTGTAGCATCTAGCATTGTCACGATGCAAACATTTTGAAACCAGGAAAGGGCTCTCTTCTTTAATTTTGATACCACAAAGCTATAATAAAATAATAAAATAGAATCTTTTTCAACACAAATAGTATTTAGTCATAATAACATGTGATCTTAAACTAATTATTATATAGATCCGGATCTTTAAAACTATTCAGGTAAGGTCTGACAGTGTGTATTTAATGTTATTTTTTACTGCACTTCAAATGAGTATCTACTTTTGATACTACTGTATTTTTCAGACTAGAAGTTGCACTTTTTTCATGGTTTGGGTGGTCCTGCGACTTATACTCTGTTGCGATTTATATATTAAAATTTTCACACTGACAGCCTCGAGAGAGCGCTCTAGGCTTCTGTGCCAGTATCTGCTGCTCCTATTACTCCAGTACTACTCTCACTTCGCACTCAGTTGCACATGTCTCCTGCAGAAAAAGCTGCTGTCCTTCTGCAAGTAGTGAAATATGCAGCTGTAAATGGTAATCGAGCAGCAGAAAGGAAGTTTGGAGTGACCAAGAAACTTGTGAGGGACAGGCAGAAAGTGGGGCTGGAGAAAACAAGCTTCACAGTAAGCGGGAGGGTGCGCCATGCAACTTTCCTGGAAGTCATTGGATGGATCAGCAAAGCGTGGACTTCAGTGAGAACCTCCTGTCTGGATTCAGAAAGGCCTAATTCTAACTGGAACTGATGCTGAGTCTCACAACAGCTACACAGAAGGGGAAGTGGCGCTCTGTTTACCTCCAGAGGTCGCGGAGTTGCTCAGAAGTGACACAGAGGATGAAGAATTCAATGGATTTAGTGATGTGGAGTGAGATTGGGGGTTTGATAAACGTATGTTATGTGGTTTATGCTATAATTATCTGAATAACTGTTCATATGTTACATTAACATATTAACGTCTATTCAGCCTGTTGTTCTCTGTTCTGTTGTTATGACTGTAACTTGCCTTTCAAGATGAAATGTCAGTTTCTGGTCTCTGATTTTATAAAATACAAATTCCCAAAAAAGTGCAACTTATAGTCCGGTGCAACTTATACATGTTTTTTCTTCTTCATTACGCATTTTTTGGCTGGTGTGGCTTATACTCCTGAGTGACTTATAGTCTGGAAAATACAGTACTTTTATCAATATCTGGGTAACAATACTTTCATTACGTTCATTACAACTCTAGCTGTCTGAGAAATGATATACATATTTATTTTCTGCTTTCCATTTTGACCATAAATAGCCTCACGCCAACACAATCACTCTGGACACCTCTGGGGACCATCCAGTATCTACAAGTATAATGTAATGGAGTGAATGATGAATGGTTTAACGTGCAGTCCAAGCAGTGTGCACGCAATCAATTAGTTTCCAGAATATTGCCGTGAATTCCCGGGCAGAGGTTGTATTCTGCAGACAGGAGCCCCTCGCATACCTGAACATGCTCTACTCAAGGACAAATACAGCCTATAACTGCACATCTGGACAAGGCATCAGCTGCTTGTCCTGCCTGTTTCACTGCACTGTACTGATGACAAAGTGAGTGTGCAGAGCCAGAGCAGAATACACTGGGCTAACATTAGGAACATGTGGTTTGGTTTACATGCAAAACCAGCACTTATGGTTTCTGAAGGTCAAAGCATTTTACACCTACAGGTAATGGCTGAAAATTTACAAATACAATGCTGTGTGTTTGTGTGGCTGAGTAACAAAGCAGAGTTGTTGTACCAGATGAACAATAATTATAGGGCTGTAACAACTAATTGCAAAGACCTTGTACTGCAGTCTGCTGTTAACAAATACAATACTGTTATTGTCCACATGTATGTAGCATTAAGTCTTATTTAATATTTGTTTAAATATGTTGCCGGCGCCCTTGCTGTTTTTTTTTTTTTAAATGTGCTATAATTATAACTGAATCTGGTTTGCCAGTGCATAAACAGACAGAGTTCATCAGAATTCAATCAGAGGCTGTACTAGCATTGAAGATTGGCTGCAGGTTCTGGGGTTTAAGTAGTGAGGGTTCATATCAAAGAGAGGCATTTTAGATTAAACCAAATGAATTTCAGCATTGAACTGGCAGCCCTTGGCAGACTCATAAAGTATATCCAGTGTTTTTTAATCAAGAATAAATCTGCAATCCAAAATGTTATCAGTAAAAGCTAGATCTGATTTCAACATGACAACTGTTCACAAAATTGTCCTAAAAGGTCAGTTTATTTGAATATAGCTGAACGTAGATGACAAAGATCAGTTTAGAAAGGCAAAGATAAAGATCATTCACTGTCTTTTTTGGATTTTTGAGTATGAAGAGTCTTAAATCAAGAATGGTCAAATAACAGATTATGTAAAGAAACTGTTAAATGGTAGTAACATTTTGGAATGGTATGTAGGTTAATGCAACTTTACAACTTCTTAAATGCTTGTGTCAGGTGGTTCACTTCAACATCAAGAAAGGCACTTGTGCAAATCCACTGGAACAACCCCTCTGACCTCATAACTATTAGGGCTGATGGCCTTTAGTCCTTCAGTCAGCCAGTGGCATATTAGTCAGCCACAATTTAAATTAGTTAAGAATTGAGAATAAGAAACTGCAGAAATGAGAAGGCGTAGACATAGATGGCTGAAGATTTGGGAGTTAATCATGATTTTAATCTGCTTTTACATATAAATGGCCTGTTTCCTACTTTCCTGTAGTTTTTTTGCATGAACTCCTGTGTGGTTGTAGTCTTGAGAGTGCAGTTTGTGTCACATACATGGCCATACAGAGATAGTAAAAAGTGCTTTTGAAGTTTTACTCCACTGTCCCCTTTAGACAACTGTAGATCCAATGGCTACTTCCAAAATACAAAGCATATTTTTAGATTAGAATTGATTTTCATTTGTTGAATTCTTACCCCATCCACTCTGCATCTGTATCCAAAACAAACTATTTGTATTACACTTTCTGTCTGGCCTCTTTTGTTCTTCCACACTTTTGCAAAGGATTTGTCAAAGTTAACACTCATTTGTTGCATGAAAGGATTTCAGCGG